AAGGGATTTGAAACTTCATTGATGGACAAAAAAAACCCAATTATTTAATGTCACTTTTTCTAGCACAATGACTCTGATAATAGGAAGAATGCAAGAGTACTGATAGTGAAATTAGAGTGAATTTCTTAGGGTGCATGGGCATTAGAAAACACGCATAATTTCAACCCAGATGAGAGTGGTTGTATACAGTTCAAGCTGGCAATAAGCACCGTTCTTGTATTAGCACTGTTCTTATATAAGCAATATACACGTTTACACTACACTGGGAGGGGGAAGATGAAGGGCAACTTCTGATAGAAGCACACTCCAAATATAAGCACAGCTGGACTTTCTCCCAAAGGGGATGCCCTTGTACCTGGTCTCTACTCTATATATGTGGTAGTTAAAGCAATGTGCGTATGGTCGTTGCATCACGAATGTACAGTCACAAACAAATGAATGGGTGGAGACCTTCAAACCAGCTGCGCATGAGAACCTGTCCAGACCAGGGAAGCGGCAGTCAGATTTCACTCTTTGCCCCGAGGGCTCTAAACCAGGATCCCAAAAAGCACTGGCTCGTCAAACTTACAGAGGTGCATTCACGTCTGTTGGAACAATTGGCAAGCGAAAACATGCCAGCTTCCAAAGATTCTTGGCCCAGCCGTAGCATGCGAGCACGTGGCATTGCTTGGACTTGACATCGGGAGTAGGGGGGGGGGATGCGAACGGTGCGCACAAGAAAATTTGAAAAAAAGTGGTATTTTTTTTGTGCTAACGTAAAAAAAAACGCCACTTTTTTCAAATTTTCTTGCTGTGGTTTTCACACCTGATTATGATTGCTTGTGTTGCAGTCGAAACGTCGTGAGAATTTTGTTGTTTTATATTTTTATCATTTTATTGTTTCCCTTCGACATGGTGACTTTACCGAAAGAACCAAGAATATTTACATTCTTTGTCAATGATAGTGACCACTGGCTGGAGCGGTGGGGGGGGGCCCTGAGAGAGACCCAGCCATCTCCAACAGGATGCACGTACCAACTCAACACGCACGTTCACAGCAGCGTGGGCTCCACAAAAGCATCCGTCATCACCTTCCTAGCGTCTACGCTCGTCGGACCACAGCGGACGCAGATGCATTCCTCGCCCGCCCCGCTTTTCCAGATAATGTAAAAACAGAAAAAAACGCGAATAAAATAAAAAGCGTCGCGTAGAAGCTGTCAGATTTTGTTTTGTAATAGAGAGCCGAGTTTGTTGAGTACTGAGCTGTAGACTGGTTAATCGCGGTTCAGTCAACTGTCTGCACGCAATTTACTGCACGCAAGCGATAGCTAATTGAGCTTCGTTTCTAGGTCCAAGGTTAACACGCATTTTTGTTCTGCCACACCTACACTTGCCATCTCGCATACCTTGTCCTTGGTGGCTGATCTTATTAATGAACAATAGCAAGCTTTCTGTCCGGTGGCAGGGTCATCGCTTAATCGCCCTCCATCCTGTCCGATCCCACTTCTCCTTCTTCACCTCCCTTACTCGGGAAGGACGGTCAAGGTGGTGTTCCTTTGGCATCCTTGACACTATATTCTTAGTTCTTTCGGTAAAGTCACGTTGAAGGGAAACAAAGAACTAAGAATATGAATTACTGCAGTCACGAAAGCTTTAAATCAAAATCCTTGACACTGTTTATGGGATACTCCTACTGACTGGGTTGGTACAGTCAACAAATTACCCTCATGCTGACGGGAGGACTTAATGCAGTGGTGGCTTGAAAATCTCCCTTGAATTATTAGCCTCATAAATTCCCTCCAAATGCTGTATACATTTTTTAAATACATTTTCTACAAAAAAAGATTATTCTGACGAATTCTTAGTATATGCAGTGTAAAGTCATACCCAGGATAAATTAAAATAAAAAAAATGTAAAGCAACATCCCTTTAACCGCTACAGGGGGGGTCCCTCCGCACAATCGTCGCCGTTAATGGGGAATCGCGCTGCGTTTTTCGTGTAATACATTTTCCCGCTCGGATATTCAGCGCCCAGTGGCAGCCGCGGCGGCGGCAACAAGCTCGCCGAACAATAACCGTGACGCGTCGGATAGGGGGGGGGGCCCCCCCCCCCGTGCCAGGATGAGGTGAGGCTCCTTTGCGTGAGCGCGGCGAGTGTGAGCGCACGCACGCAGCTCGCCACGCTCAGCGGGGGCCTGCCGTTTGGGTGGGGTGGGAGTGGGGGTGGGGGGGCGGGAGGGGCCGACAATGTCGAGGAAGGAAGCACGTAGCACAACACAAAGCGGGGGGCCGGGTTCAGCACCCGGTTATGTCTCCGACACAAACACCGCCATTGAGTTTGGGGGGGGGGGGGGTTTTTTTTTTTTGGTCCAACGCACATCGGCTTAATCATATCCTGCCCTCGGCGGGACAAAGCCAAGCCTTATTTTTTTTTCTCTTCGGCCCCTACAATTTATCACACGTTTGTTCCGCGCGGGCGTCGGGTGCGGCATTGTGCAATGAGCTGAATTGTAAACCCCCCCCCCCCCCCCATAAACGGGGAGCTGGTGGGCGAGCGAACGTGTAATTTTAACCTCTCGGTAGTGCGAGTAGAACGGAGTGAGTTGAGGATACACTTGTCAAAACATTTATCCGGGGTTCAACGAGGAGGGGGAAAAAAAGAACTATCAGGTTCTGTTTGTGTTACGAGCTGAATTGCTGCAATCACACATTGTTCGATAACAATTTTCAAACAAAAAAATGCGTTCGATATTTTTCAGGCAGGGCAGCTCCGTCATGTTGAATGCATTGTTTATGAAGGAATGTGTATTAGCTTTGTGTTTTTTGGGCAGATTTGGCAATTAAACCTGATTGTAAGTGCAAAACCATGTTTGTTTATCGCCTTCAATTCTACAGACTTGTCTATAAAGGTAATATCCATAATGAATTATAATTGAACGGAAATTTGAACGGCAAGGTTCACATTTTGCTGACAAGTTCCTTAAATACTTGTGTTTTTAAGACAAAAAGAACTTGAGTGATCTTCAACAACGCATTCATGAGAGAAACATTCTAAACGATCACAGCCTCCGTGTTGGTGAACACCTGGGACTGCCAAATCCTGGGACACCTGGGACTCCAAAATCCCATAACCTGTCGACCCACACGGTTTACCCCGTATTCCTGCACAGGGGAAATTGAGTTTTCAGGTCCATACGGCGTACAGCCGTTTCAATTCGTGCACCAAAGAAAATGCGTCTTTGTGATGGGACTTTGTAGGATGAACGTTGAGATGTATAAGGGCACGGGGTGACCGATGAGGTCAGGTATGAAATCCCAATGCTGCGTGCGCTCCCCCATTACTATGGCGCACATTCGGAGGCTTAGAGGGATGATGACACTTATATAATACATTCTTGACATAGCTCAAGCTACTGTACTTTTATGATCTGTTGTAGTAATTAGATGATAGCTTTTGTGTCTATCGTACCCACCTGTAGTTTGGTTTAGTTTCAGGAAAGTTTCCCAAACTCGACTTGCTTGTGTGGCCCTCCATGGTCCACCTTTCCATGTTTTACCTGCCTTCTAATTCAGATATTGATGCTCTCCAATGCATACTGCACACACCAGATGATTGGTAATCCAATGCATACTGCACACACCAGATGATTGGTAATGCAGAAAGTGCTCATGCAAAAGAAGGTACATCTTTTGTGTATGATCCACATGATTTCGAGACCGCTCTTTATTTCAGTCTGTGCCCTCTCGGTATCTTTATATCCAAGCTACCTTTTTTTGTCCCTTGCCACGATTGGTTGCCGCATGCAATTCTAAAATATATTTAACATGTACGTATGTACTTTGAACTTCTTTCGCACCGCACATAGCCAACCATGCTAATCGGAGGTGCCGGAGAAGAACAACAAACTGAATCCTCGGAGCTGGTCTACGACAATTTGATTTTTATTGTTTTACGCAGTCGTTAGGAACTGGGTTGTGACCATCATCACCCCGCTACACTTGAGAACCCAGTTTAATTACCGGTGGCTAAAACCCGTATTTGAAAACCAGGATCTCAACCCAAGATCTGAATGTGCTCTGGACGGACACCCCCCCCCCCCCCCCCCCGAGCCATCTCGGCAAACTCGCTGCAACACAATTTGAGCATAAAACTACAAACGTGCATGTCGCAAGAAACCTACCCCGCATAAGCGCCGGCTCACCTGAGTGAGAACGTTGTTGGCAAGTTGTAGGAGAGATGGTCATCCCATACAGAGTGTTTCTCCACATGTCAATTTCCTGGCATTTGTAAACTTAAATGCTCGCAGCTTGGCGAGCCTGATTTAAGTGAAAAGCCATACAGTAAAACCTTGGATTGTGAGCATAATTCGTTCCGGAAACGTGTTTGTAATCCAAAGCACTCGTATATCAAAGCACTCGTATATCAAAGCACTCGTATATCAGTTGTGATCACGTGACGCTCGGCAAACAAAGCGTATACGTACTAGTATGCAAGACCTCGCTCGTTTATCAAATTAATATTTAAAATTTTTGCTCGTCTTGAAAATACTCGCAGATCAAGTTACTCGCAATCCAAGGTTTTACTGTATTTGTATCCTGCAGTGTCTTTTTTTTATCGCCTACTGATACATCAACTGTGACAGTCGGGTTCGTGGTCGAGACTAAATGACAGTGGCAGCCCAAGGGAGTGGACACTCTGGAGAGGCATTTTTCCTCCACGTAGGTGGATTCAGCCGCGTCCAGATGCACTATACAGTTTGCTTATTGCATCGCGGGATCAGGAGAGAACAGTGATGGCTTGGAGGGGAGGCATTGATGCAGCAGTGGCTAGATCAAACCCGCTGGGGTGGCTTGGTTAGAGGCTCCACAGGTAGCTCGATCGTAATAAACATTTGGAGAGAGTTCAGTTAGATATTTTCTGTTCTTGTATTTTTTTCCCCCGCTCCAAATGCGCTGCCTGCAGAGTATTGACCTGTTCCACTTTCTTCCTCCCTGGTGTGTGCTCTGTGCTGCCACCACAGATGGTTCCACCCCAACATTTCAGGGATCGAGGCAGAACATCTGCTAATGACGCGTGGCGTGGACGGCAGCTTCCTTGCCCGACCCAGCAAGAGCAACCCCGGAGATTTCACACTCTCCGTCAGGTGGGTTCGGGTGGTGAAGTATGCTCGATTATTCCCCCCGACCCCATTGGACGGAGTGGGGGAGGCCTTCATCCAGCAGCAGATTGGCAAGGGTTCTACATGTGTACATCACGTGGGTTCCTCCCCCACCTCTCTCTGCCCTTCCCCCTCTCTTCTCGCCTCTCTCCTCTCCCTGCTTTCCTTCTGCCACCTCTCCCGTTCCCTCTCTCCGCCCCTCTTTCCCACCCGCTCCTCCCCTCCCTTCGCACTTGCACTCATTTCCTCTCCTTTCCTGCAATCTCTCCACCCTTATTGTGCTCAACACTCCACTTGTATCTCATCGCTTAATCTGCTTCCTCTTCTGACCTCTCTCCTCCGATCTTTCCATCTCTCCATCCTGCCTGTAGTTCTCGCTGACCTCTCACTCTCTAGTTCTCTCACTCCCTTCTCCGAGACTCTCCTTTCCTCCATCTCGCCTCTGTTTTTGTTTATATCCCCACTGGTCCCTCCCTCCTCCTTCTTTTGCATCTTCCCATCTTCCCAAACACATGGTGCTTCCCCCTCCCGCTCACGGTGGAAAAAAAAAAACGTCCTGGATCCACACACACCCCCACGGTCCTAAAATGTAACACTCTATTCATTACACAGTCCAACTGTAAACTTTGTCTATTGACGCACGCGCACTATCATGACGTGCCCAAGCCCTCTTGCGCCAGAGTAATCCGGGTCGACTCCCGGTAATCTTTTGATTTAAAGCTTTCGTGACTGCAGGGATTAATATTCTTGGATCTTTCGGTAAAGTCACGTAAAAGGGAAGCAACAAAACAATAAAAACATAAAACAACAAAATTCTCGTGACGTTTTGACTGCAACACAAGCAATCATCATCAAGTGGAGAAAAAAAAACCGTCCTGGATCCACAATAATAATATTAGTGGCATGTGATGATGATTGCTTGTTTTGCAGTCGAAACGTCGTGAGAATTTTATTGTGTTATGTTTTTATTGTTTTATTGTTTCCCTTCTACGTGACTTTACCGAAAGAACCAAGAATATGAATCCCTGTAATCTGTGACAAACCGGAGCAGTGCTCGCGCAAGCCACGTATTTGAATGGGTGACTTTAATCCATGGATTGGCAGCGCCGTGAATTCGCAAGCACGCGGGGAGGTGGGGGGGGGGGGGGGGGGCGCGCGCGTGGCTCTGTGCCGAGCGCGTCTTCAATATTGATGTCGGCGTCTCTTAATACCAGGTTCGTAAAATCTCGCACGTGTATTTTTACGCACAGTATTGCCACGTGACGGTGTGCATTACGCGCGAGGCCCACCGTAAAGAAGGCATATGGCGGCGAACGTTGGCTCTGTTCATGGCGTTAATCAGGACCTAATCCATTCATTGTACAGGCTATGTTGCGCTATTTTTATCTCTCCCATTTAAATCTCTCCCATTTCAATTGCGTGTAAGGATGTACCTGTGCCTGTCTCTTGTGTGTGTGTATGTGTGTCCGCATTTGTTTGCATGGTGTGGAGCAGAGTGTTGCGGTTAGCGATCCGCACTAAAACTCATTGACACTAGTTCAATGCCTGCTCGTGACTGATACCAGTGACGATTATGCCAACCGGTCTCGGGCCTCACCTAGGTCAGCTTGGTCTCAAATGAGTACCTGCTGTCATGTGTAAGCATCGCCATTGGGGAGACAAAGGCGTCCGGGCGTGGTGCTGGCCACCCACCCCCTCGTGTGCCGTGCCGGCCTTCATAGGTGCTGCTCACTAACAGCACTTGCCCCAACAGTCCGTTAAGGCTATGCGGGGGATCTTTTCTTTGCTTGCATAAAACTGTGAACAGTGGAACTGGTTTCACGCACCTCACTATGATTTGAGTGACATGTTAAATGTTTGGGTATCATGTATTATGTGGTAATAATATTAGTGGCATGTGATATCTAAACCTTACCTGGGTCTCCCCTGGGTTCCTACCCAGTTTCATAAAGAGTGACTAGCGTGTCCAAGCAAATGTTGGACTTGACACATGCCATACCAACCCTTCATGTGCCTTGCTGGCCATAGGTACTTGCTAAAACAGCTTTACTGTATGGTCTCTTGAGACCACAAGTGGATATTTGAGTTTTTACATATATTCTATTCACCAAGACTCAGGGCCAATGTTGTTCTCAAAATAGTTAGTGGTGTTGCACGTCCAAGTAGATTGTATGGCAACTACTATGCATATTCTCTGGGTCTTACGGTAAAGCCACGTAGATAGAAAAATAAATATCTAATAATAAAAAATATCACGACTTTTTGATCGCAACACATGCAATCGTCATCAGGTGAAAAAATATAGCGGGAGAGCTACTGAGGCAGGAAAAAAATATATAGTGGGAGCGCTGCTGAGGCAGGGTGTTATAAAGGTTTGAGATGGGTGTAGCCTAAGGGTCATAAGCGAAGTGGGCGGGGCTAGAGATGAAATTTGCATGTAAATGTAAGATCAGAGAGCTGAGCTCCACCACGACAACGAAGCTGTGGAGGTGGCCATTGTATTGTGAGAGATTAGCATGTCAATGTAGGAAAACCGAAAACATGCTATTCTCTCAAAATACAATGGCCACCTCCACAGCTTCGTCGTCATGGAGGTAGCTGAGCTCTCCGATCTTACATTTACATGCAAATTTCATCTCTAGTCCCGCCCACTTTGCTTATGACCCTTAGGCTACACCCATCTCAAACCTTTTATAACACCCTGCCTCTGCAGCGCTCCCGGTATATATTTTTTCCTGCCTCAGTAGCTCTCCCGCTATATTTTTTCACCTGATGACGATTGCTCGTGTTGCGATCGAAACGTCGTGAAGTTTTATTATTTTTATTATTATTATTTTTCTATCTACGTGGCTTTACCGAAAGACCCAGAGAACATGAATTCCAGCAGTCACGAAAGCTTTAAGTTAAGATTTAATTACGATGCATGTCTCACCATCGCTGTGCTCTCATTGTCCACCCATCGCTGATAATACTTATCACGCAGCACCAGGTACTCGGTTTAGGCTGAATCAAGTCAACTTCAGCGAGTCGCATGCATGTACAGTACAGTGTACGGTTGTAAATCAATCCCAGGCTCCTCGGGTTCATAACGGAATGTAGTAAATTCCGACCACCACTCGTATAAATTATCGGCGTTGGCTGAGTAAGTGAGCACTTCGCTCTAGAATTCTGGTGATTTGTGATCATTTTCCTCCCCATGGTGTGCAGCGCCAGTGGCGATTTTTATTTGTTCTTGGCCCAGAGTCTCTCGATCAGCTCGGCGTGCGGTAGTAGACTATTTAAAAGTATTTGTATTTTACCAGCTAAGGCCCACTGAGCTCTATACCGTAGCTCTTTTTCAGAAGCGACCTGGCTTTCACAAATGGCAGCCCAAAGAAGTGGCTTATCACGAGGAAATTTATAGCAGCCAAATACTCTAAACGCACGTTGATTCTAAATGTGGAGGGGAAAACCGGAGGACCCGGAGAAAAATCCATCTAGGCACGGGGAGAACATGCATACTCCAAATACACAGGCGTCGGGGTCGGGATTGAACCCACTACCTCCTGTATACTAGGCAAGGTAGTTAACATCTCGTCACCGTGGTTGTTAGTGTGGTCTTTAACGCCAGCTTTGGGGAGACGAAGGTGGCAAGGCATGCGTGGTGCTGACAGCACCACCCCCTCGTGTACACTTTTAGCCTAAGTGTTCAATGCAGGCTTTCCGTGGGCTAAATTGTGATCTTTGTCTCAGTGTGGGGGTGTGAGTGTGTGTTTTTGCTAGTGTACAGTTCCTGGAAAGCACTCATGAATACGCTTCACCGGTGATATAAATCCAAAGCTTTTAATCTGCTTACAGTGGATATTGTGAAGTGTTTTTGGAAAATGAGAATTTGGGATTGCCAAGTGCTATGTTTGCCAGCTGTCAATGGCAAGCGCACAGGATTTCTTAGAATCCGTCATTAACCTGTTTCATATGTCTCATACTGTATAAATCACTTTCACGATATTGCCAAGTGGAGTTTTGGTGCAAGGGTCAATGTTGCACACATGGCCTGAAAATGAATTTGCTACTTCGCTTTCAAATACAGGTGGTCTCCAGTTTACGTGGGACAGTCTGATATACACGATCCACATTTACATTGTTTATATAACGCCACCACAAATCAGTTTGCGACGCAGGAAAATTGTTTGACAGCGCATCTTCCAACACAACACATTTGAACAGAGTCAATCTGGTTTCTGCTGTTACTTGGTGTGGCAAGTGATGTTTCTATTGTTTTTACTCTCTATGGTAAAATAGGGTCTGATTTACGACGATCCAATTCTCATGACGGGAATTTACAGGAATGCGTTGTCACAAAAGTGGGGACCGTCTGTACTGTGTCTATTGGGGTGGCTCAGTGGGTCAGAGGACTGAGCTGGCACGGCTGAAATCTTGGGTTCAAATCTGGGTTTCGGCCTCCTGCAATAAAACTGGGTTCTCAAGTGGAGTGGGGTGATGGTCTCAGCCCAGTCACCAATGAATTCATTCCTCGTGAGGGGAAAAAAAGCATGAACTTTTTGGTTTTAACGAAATTTAGCTGATTTCCTAGATCCAAAAAGTTTTAAGTACCAGTTTAGGTAGCCTTGCAATGAACATTTCTGTGTTGAAGGGCGTGTGTGGGAAAGTGATCTCCTCCATAGTGTGTAGATAAGAAAAGGTCGCTTGAAGGAATTTCAGAATGGTTCGGTGACATCACGTTCCGTTGGCCAAAATCTACCATGCGCTGGGGACACAGTGCCTTGCAAGAGTTCTGAATGGATTGGTCTCGTAAGATGACGCCAAGAGCTCAATTGCGATACAATTGGTTAAGTAGCAGCGTCGATCAAGTTGGTAGCTCGGAGTATATAACATGTTTTTTTTATTGTCAATAAGCCATTTCCCGTGTGTTTTTATGTCTATGTTTAAGTAGCACTGTCAATGCTCTAGCTTTGGAAACATTGCCAGTTGGCCTGATTGTGATTCTCAAACTGTTCATAATAAACACACAACAACAACACTGTTCATGTCTCTACTCCATGTGGTGTGGTTTTACCTTGTAGGGTTTTGTTCTTATGACCCTGAAGAGCTTTTTTTTCTCTCCACAGTTACTGAGCACAGGCCCAAAGGGCCCAAAACATCAAGCGGCCAACGACAATAATGAGCGATCGATTTAAATGATGATGATAATTATCAGTATCCTGGCTCTCTTGTAAATTGTGAATGACTCATTAATTGTCTTTGTATTATTGCAATGTAATACAGCTGTGCTTTTATGTACTTTACGAAAGCATTGAGGTCGCCTTAGCCCAATCGCTAAACACTACAAGCCCAAGGAACCATAATTGAATTTATAAATAAATTGAGTTCTTAAAGGTAGATTCAAGATAACGATTGCTGAACTCCCATCGTCCCGATAACTACTTAACCCTTTCTCATTTTAATGACGTACATATACGTCATAGGTTTTTCTTCCGATTCAGAACCGGAAGAAAAAATGAAATTACCTTATCGGTACCGAGGCTCCCACAAGGCCATGTGGCAGGGCATGTGGCACAGTTTGGCGCCAGCTAACATAGAGTACGGTCTTGTCGCTACAGTTCTCTACCATGATTACAGTGTCTTTAAAAACAATGGCACTCCGCCTCTAAATACAATTAACGCTCAGCCTCTTCGCACGTTCCGAGATTCAGCAGTGAACAGGGCCTATCCTGCAACTTGCAGACGTCTCGGAACGGAAAAGGGTTAAGGTGCGTATCCCAGGCTGTCCAACTTAACTTTGAATCATTGTTGGTGAGAAAGAACAAGACTGTAAGGGTTCCTGTAAGAACCCCTGTACTCCTCTGCAATATTGATGGTTTTAGTCTTTGTTTTCTTGTTGTTGCTGATGTGCCCACGAAGCCCCACGGATCTCCCATGTTAATTGGCCAGCAAACTGCCTAAACGAGACCATGCGTGTAACAAACAGGATAAATTCAAACCGTCAAATGCACTATTATGGCACTCTCGATGTTGCTGCGACGTCATCCTCGTATGTTTTAACACGGCGCCAATGCATTTACGTCGCTAGAATCCTACGGAGGGCAGCGGTTGACTGTTTTTTCTAAAGTTTGGTTTCTTTTTAACTAAACTTAAAAATGGAACACAAAGCCTACGGACAGATCGAGACTTACCTACGTTTTTTTTTGCATTGCGTATTCCTTCTCTAACCTGGTGTCACTTGGCCCAGCACTGAAGCACAAACTAAATAATTGGTCAATCATCTCGAAGCAGGGCACTCAATGATTGAGATGTTGGGACACGTTTAGGTGTTCCAGTACACTTATAATTTTTATTAAATAAATGATGAAAATTTATTTTTCAGAAGCGGCATGACCACAAATGATAGCTCATCACAGTGGTTTATCGTCACGTGGAAATGCCTAGAAAATGTAGAGGGAAAATCCGGAGGACCCGGAGAAAAATGCATGCAAACACGGGGAGAACTCCAGACATACAACAGGCGTCAGGGTTGGGATCGAACCAACTACCTCCTGTATTCCAGGTGAGGCAGTTAACTTATTGCCACCACGGCATCCCTATGCTTTCTACCTTTGCAGTGCAGCTGTGTGAGGTTGCGATTGCAAGTGCTGGGTAATAATGTGTCGGGGGAGGTTTTTGGATGGTGGGCGGGTGGTTTGTGGTTAGTGGCGGTGAGTAGTAGTGGTGATGGGATGGTAGCGGTGATTGGGTGGTTGGCGATGGTAAGCAGTGGTCATTTGGTGGGTTTTAGCTGGTGGTAGTGGGTGATGGTACTGGTAGGGGTGAGGTGTTTAGATGATGATGGTGGGTTGTGGTTGGTGGTGGCTCTCTGTTACCCTAATTTTTGTGCACAAGTCCGCTGTTTGTCTCTGTATTGCTCGTCTTTTATCTACCATTGCTCCATTGCTGTATTTGTCGTCTTTCCTTAATTTTCTTTCCCCTCTCCTCCCCCCCCCCCCCCCGTATCTTCCTCGGATGTGATTCGTATTTCGCGCATTCGTCAAGCGTCTCGCGGCCGCCACCGCCGACCGCATCAGTAAGCGTAAACAAATCCTCATCTCTTTGACGGACGGATTGCAGGCGGAACGGCGAGGTGACGCACATCAAGATCCAGAACACGGGCGACTACTACGACCTGTACGGCGGTGAGAAGTTCGCAACACTCGCCGAACTCGTGCAGTACTACACGGATTACCAGGGCCAGCTGCGCGAGAAGAACGGCGACATCATCGAGCTGCGGTTCCCGCTCAACTGCGCCGACCCCACCTCTGAGCGGTATGGCGGAGGCCCACACAATGCCGACGGAAGTCGACGCTAGGCGGGGGGAGGGGGTGGCGGGACGAAACATTTTTCCCCATTTTTATATTCTGATCTTTGTGCCGACTTTGCAGTCATGAGGCTTAAGCGTCTGTTCGCGTCTCTTGCCAAACCAGGGTATCGCCACATCTGTTAAGAGGATGGCGCCGTGGAAGGGGGGGGGGGTGTACAGAGTGTTTGTGAGATCCCCTTCAAGTGACCCTTTTTTTATATCCGCAAACTAGGAGTTGACACGTTTTCTCACGCCCCTGCTTGCGTAGAGATGCGTTTGTCGCGTGGTAGTCAAACCGATGTTGTTTTCATTGTCAGAGCTGGAATTTAGCCAAATTAAGTGAAACACAAGCTTAATGTAAAGGTAATTTTACGCACTCACTGGTGACCAGGCTGAGGCCACGAACTCGCTATACCTGAGAACCCAATTTAATTATGGTTGGCTATTTAGATTTAAACCTGTATCTCAGTAGTGGTGGTTTTGGGTCGCCCAATAAAGAGTTATAATTTTAAGTAGTTGGTGGCTCAAAACAACGTATTAGCCAGTACTTGTATCTATTGATGATCTTGATGGAAATTTCATTCATCTGCGAGAAACAGCAGTTGTGAAGTGTCTAACCAATATTCAACACTCTAGGAAACATAATCCAAGTTATTTTATTTCATCGTCATCATCATTCGCCGTGATCCATCCTCTCCTGAATGAAAGCCTCCCCATGCTGCCGCTCTCTCTCTCTCATGCTCCTAAAATGTAACGATCTTTCTAGCACCTGCACACGAGCCGATCTCATCGCTCCATCTGTGCGGAGGACATTCTCTCTCTCTCTCAATGGATTTTTCTGCCTTTGGCCTGCCACTGTTTTTAGTCTCAACCACCGGCCATCATCCCTTCTAGTGACGTGCCCCACACAAGCCCACTTACTTTTTGCGAACATTCAACGTGACGTTTTGAACCTGCGTGCGTTGCCGAGGGATTTATCTGCACGATAAGAGCTATTTGTTTTCCTGGGTTGCGTCGACACGGGCACGATTGTAGTTTTTTTTTTTCCCCACAAAGAGACGCTACCGGTTATTGGTTTCTTGCGTTGGTAAAGCACTTTTTGCTATAAAGCCAAAAACTGTACGAGGCATGGTGCCAAACACCAGCAGTTATTTTTTTATTTAAAGCTTTTGTGACTGCAGGGATTCATATCCTTGGTTCTTTCGGTAAAGTCGCGTAGAAGGGAAACAATAACATAATAAAAATATATAACAATAAAATTATCACGACGTTTCGACTGCAACATAAGCAGTCAAAACGTCGTGAGAAGTTTATTGTCGACTGCAACACAAGCAGTCGAAACGTCGTGACAATTTAATTGTTTTATATTTTTATTATTTTATTGTTTCCCTTCTACGTGACTTTACCGAAAGAACCAAGAATACCAGCTGTTATTGTTAGTTGTATTTTCACAGAATAGGAGATGGAGCGGTGGCGCATTGGTTAGCGTATTATGCTTTGGACCCAGTGATCTCCATTTGATTCTGGGCCACGGCGAATACCAGCAGCGAGCGATTAGCCTTACCAGTGCTGTACACCCTTTGCACGAACCTGCACTCTCCAGGGTAATGAAGTGTGGTAAAAAAAAAACCACGACCAAAAGGAGTGGGGAGGCCCTAATTTAGAAGTGGATGGATAAAATGCTATATGTTAGTTACATCTTTTTTAGTCTATAAAAGGATTTCCACGCGCAGTATGACAGTTGAGAAACCACATGGTCTTGCAGCCAAACTCGCAGCAGGAGAGCTTGCGCGTGCGCTGGGCAGGCAAGAACACGTCCATTGGTTTGTATCTCGTTATGTTAGAACAACTAAGGAGAAATACGCTTGTTCCGTGTGCTTTGATCTGTGTGTTGCCATGAGCTGCGTTAGCCAAGCTACGACAAACCAAATAGTATTCGCAGTGCTGAGGATTCGTTGGAATGTCCTGAACATGGAAGGCGGCCTGTCAAGAAAACGATAAAAGTAATGAAGGGGGCTGCCGGGGTGGTAGTGGGTGAAACTTTCCCGAGCCAGTCCGCACAGCTGCCCTTGTTATTCTATCGGAGTAATTAATAAACATGACTACTGAAATGCCTTTCGGATAACAGCTGCAGTAGGGTTGCAGTTGTCTTTAACGTCCACTTCACGGCATGGGACCGCACGCGTCAGGCTGCGGAAATTCCCCGCTGACCTCTTCTGTTTGACGTCGTGATTGACCGACTGACGTGGCAATCGGCCCTCGGCCCCTCTCCCTGGGGTCGCGACTCCTGCATCACAGCACAAGGGGGGGGGGAGCAAGCAGGAATTCCCATGGTTAATTCCCAGTGGCAGGAGTTTCTACTGTTTGGAATACGTATCAGGGGTTGGACAGCTGCTGGGTATTGGGTTTTTTGTTGTTTTCTTCAGCACTCTTCGACGTGCGAGGGCAATGGGTTCATTGCGTGCGTGCGAGTGCCTAGCAAGGCACGGGCTCGTCCACCCCCCCCCCTCCTCCCCGGTGCACTTTATAACGCAGGCGGGCTATGATATACGGTGAAATAAAGAGCAGAATTAGGCTGTCCGTCTTTTGCTGATGGCTGCGCCGGGTCATTAATCCACCGAAATAAGCCGTAAAAACCTGAAGGGAAATTACACGATGAACTGCTGTAGTCCTGTCCTGCACGCCTGCGTTTTTTGTGATGCTGTAGCTGCATGGATTTTTTTTTTAAATATTCAAGAGCCGCACCTGATGCCGTGTTGCAAGACCATGCATAATCTTGGCTGGAGTCGAAACTTGTGAAAGCGAATGCATTTTTTTTCCTCGGAATGTTAAAATGTTATAAACTAGGCGTGCAATGGTTTCCGTAGTCGAATTCAGCTTGAAAAATGCGTGGGAAATTATTGAGTAACGAAAAAAATAAGCTTGGAGAGTTTGTTCCCAAAGATAAATATGAACTGACGACAAGTCGGACGGCAAGCTTTTTGGAACAAATAAAAAATGTTCATTCATTAATTGTTTTCTTATGGGTTAGGTCGTGTAAAAAAGCGTGTGTCGTAAAACCCTGCAGCAGCACCACTGGTGATACCGTTGGAGAGGAATCTCACAACATTCATAAACGGTTACCGACGTTTCACTGGAGACTACACCCAGCATCATCAGCTTGTTAACGGGAGCTCGGATCTCAAGTGAAAGCGCTTCCTGTTGGGAAATGCAACAGGATGATGTGTGTGTGTGTGTGTACCTCTGGACGCAAGCGAGAGTAAGGCGGGGAGTGATTTTTCAAAGCGGTATAGCGTAACAATTAAACATATCATATTTAAATTCAATTTTGCATGCCTGACTTCGTAACGTTAAACATCGCCGCACAGCGTGACGCTTGAAAACATTCAATACCGCTCGTGTTCATTAATGAAATGGAAATGTTATCGGTCAGTACGTGCAAGGTTAACCTACCGAGTCAACCCGCTGCGTGTCAGCTCGGCTTTTTGTACTTTCTTGTTTAGAAGGTTGTCTGGCCCCATTAGCACTGATTTCATGAGAAGGGAAGGGCAAAGAAAGAATGAAGTAATTTTAGATTCCCGATCAGTGTCAGTCACCCGTGATCGAAGAACAGATGTGGTCCGTTCAAAAATGGAGCTCTTATTACGGTGACACGTACTCTATTTCATTTCATTACTTATCTGTTAATTTCATTTGTGTTGAGTGCTTAAGTAATCTAATAGCATATACTGTTTATTCAGGAGAGGAAAAAAACTGACTTACTCTTAAGGTTCCCTTTCAGAAGGGGTCATGCTTTTTAATGTTTGTTTTTACCAGTCTACCTCTTGAATGAAACAAATGATTTGCTGATGCTGTTATGTTGGCAGTGGTACACAAGCGGAATAAATAAACCTCATCACAACTGTTAACAACACTGCCTTTAAAGAATATATATATAAATATGAAATCGGAGACATTTCGGGCAGTGGTCCTTCTTCATCGCGCTTATCTCTCGGGAGCGAATTGCCTTTGGAAGGAAACCGGAGCATCCGAATAAAAGTAAGAGGGGATCGCGTTCAAAAGGTTCCCACACGGACGCGTTCACAAACTGCAGCGACCTTGCCGTGGAAAGTGAGCGCGTTAATCTGTTCGGTCACAGCATCCAGCCAATCGATGAATCAAGTAAAAGTCGTTTAGGGCTGCATGGAAAACCAAACCCCTTTGCGAGAGACACCGTGAGATGAATTGGCCCGAGCGTGTTTCGTTTGTATGTACAACTTCTTTTGCACCGTACGTAGCCAACCGTACTAAGTTGGAGGTGCGGGGGAAAGGACAGCAAACTTAACGCAAAAAGGGGTTCCGAAGAAATTAGTATTTCAATTCGCCGAGATAGAGCCACCGTGTTGTTCGCTGTGGATTGCATCGAGATTCAAGTCTCCCCTCTCTCGCCGTGCCGACGCGCCTCGTCTTCTCGCAGGAGAGTCGAAGCTTCACTCCTTCGGTGCTTGTCAATGTTGTAACTTGCCTCCTCTACTCGAACACACATCTCTTTTTTTCCCCCTTGGAATTTGACGAGGCTTTCATTGTGTAAAGCTATATATACACGCATATAAAATTACCCTGTTGCCCAGACTATGAGGTGCAATTTATTCCCTGAATTTTCGAGCAAAGCTGTATTGTAATCCAATAGGTACGTCTGAATCAGAATCTTTATTTATCCTGGAGAAATCCGATGAGCTATGAAGCTTTTTTTCACAGATGTACAGTTAGTGGGGATGGTCAGAAAGTTACAACAATTGTTTGTTGATTACGGCATGCAGCCGTGTTGTAACAAAACACTTTCGTATAACTTTACAATTATAATTATTTAAACTTTTAACGTGCACACAGCATTCAATCGCTCTCTAAGAGCGAGAACGACTCGCAGGCTTGAGGAACCACACAGCCTGGAAGGCAGCTATGTGATAGCCGGTGTCACCAATTGCCAAAGCTCCGCAGTCCTCTATGTATTAAGTGTCATCAATCCAATTCGTGAGTGCTTTCTATGTTGGAGGCAACCAGAGCAGCCGGGGTAAAAACCACGCATGTGAGGGGGAAACACTCTATCCCATACAGACGAAACAGGTGGAGTCCACATTTTTGCTGTACTCCCTTCTCTCGACACACACAGGGGAAGGGAGTTTCACAACGTTTGAGCGATGCACCAACACACAGGTTGCATCTTTCTTTCCCGAGCGTCGTATCATCTGGAGAATGTCGGATTATTCTTTATGAAATTATTAATAAAAGCAACGTGAACATCTTCATCACTCAACCTCCTCTCCCTGATGACCTCTACAATGCTTCCTTGCTATGTTTATAATCCAATATTGCCATGTTGATTACGGCATGAAGCCGTGAGATTCCTAGAATTCTATGGGTGCTAACCTACCCCTCGAAGAGCATAAGCTTCTTGTGTGATTCGTTAAAGCCTCTGTTTCTGATCCATGTAGGTACACAGACATGAATGAAACGCCCATCTCTGAACGCCAAACTTTAACATCTCAACTTTTGCGAAGTAACTTACGTCGCACATAGAATACCCACCACACTGATAACATCTATAGTCCAGTAACATTTATGCGCTATGAAAGTAGGCCCAGTGCCTGAAATGTGGCCTAATATTTCTCCTTTTAAGGCAGAGTTATTGACGAATGTAAGTTTTATGTAGTCCAGTATCATAATTTACACTGGCTGAAACTAATCATCTTTGTACATTATTAAATGCAGACCTACATGCCAAATGTGTTTGAACTTGTCTTGGCAAATGCATCCATACATGTTGTGCAGTAGAACCACGCGGGGATGAGTAATACTATAAGGGCTCATAATAATATTGGTCGCGAAGGCCTACGTGTTAAACTGACTATAAGGGCTGTTGCCGTTTATTAAACCACTGTCACACTCGACACTACGCTCACACCAGTGTAGGTGTGCTCTATCTAGGTCCTTTACCCCGGACACTGATTACTATTTGGGTCCTGCCCTCGGCTGTCCTTTGGGGCTCTCTCACTCGTCTTCCGGAGCGGGGGTTCAGCCAACACTGCTTCCGCGACGAGGAAAGAGAAACCCTCTCCTAGCCGAACCTTAGTGAATTCTCGGGACCGTATCCTCGGCTATCCACTTGGCTCTCCCACTCGTCTGCCCGGAGCGGGGGTTCAACCAACACTGCTCCGCGACGAGGAGGGAGAGACTCCCATCAGCCGATCCTTACCCTGGCTTCCCACAACGACCCCGCCTCCGTCACGGGGTCCCCCTTAAGAACCCCTCGGGTGGCTCCTCCCCCCTGCTCGGACCCGCCTTTGTGCCCGAAGCTACTTCTTACATCATCCGTGACGTTACGTCATCCTTGACTGTCAACCCGCTCACACCTCCTTCTGTTCGCCCCCTCATGGTTACTCACAGTACTCCTCTATACATGGCGAGATAATCTCTGATGTGCATAAAATGTACAGCTGGTATATAACTACCTGCCAAACGTGTAATGAAGATATGTGGACGACTTAATTCACACATGGGTAGATTGTCATATCTGCTTTGGTCCCCTACAAATATTTGAGATGGGATGGCATATTAGGCGCGTTGAGATGCCAAGGCATTTAAGAGCCATATAAATGCAAAATAATACCTAAGCATCAAATGTCTCCTTCATACCATCCATCTATCCACATTAAATTTTTTTATTACAGAACGCATCGACTGCACGGTTTTGTGTGAACGCATAATTTCGGCAGCATTGATTCAAGACGAGCAAACTCTGGACCAGTTTCGAATTTCAGTGTCTCATTAGCAGTCACGCTTGCTTGAATCAATTTATTACCGGCAATGAACGTCACTTTACGATGCAGGTCCTCGTTTGACGTGAATTTATTTAATTTTAAGCACAAATATTATTAGTGTTATTAAACATGCAAGAGAACATGTACGCTATTTATTAAGCCCATGATAATTAAGTGTGTCGTTACACACACACACACTGCCTATTAAATGTTCTCCCACATTCACGCTTATCATTTCGGAGCTGGGTATGGCCTAACAGTTTTCACCTTGAGGTTTGCAAAATGTTGATTTAAAGCTTTCGTGACTGCAGGGATTCATATTCTTGGTTCTTTCGGTAAAGTCACGTAGAAGGGAAGCAATAAAATAATAAAAATATAAAACAATAAAATTCTCAGGACGTTTCGACTGCAACACAAGCAATCATCATCAGGTGTGAAAACCACAACAAGAAATTTCTTGTTGTGGTTTTCACAACAATAAAATTCTCACGACGTTTCGACTGCAACATTTCTTGTTGTGGCTTTCACACCTGATGATGATTGCTTGTGTTGCAGTCGAAACGTCGTGACAGTTTTATTGTTTTATATTTTTTATTATTTTATTGTTTCCCTTCTACGTGACTTTACCGAAAGAACCGAGAATATATTTGCAAAATGTTATCGCCAATTATAATTTTGCTGGAGTAATTTCACGTCATCAGGTTAAGAAACGTTCCTTGCAGACGTTTTTTTTCCAACAGAACTTTGCATTGTTACGTCATGAGATGGCTTCAGAATTTCTGATACCACAGAACTACTTGTGGAGTCAACTTCAGTAGACCTCTTTTTTAACGTTGGATGGTGCCGTTTCACGTCTCCCTTGGGCGTGCAGTTTTTACGCATGCCTATCAACCAGTATTTTTATATATATATATCCTGAGCTGATCCAAGTGAATATAACACACCTGCTTTTTTTTGTCCAGTCATCGGGGACTGGGACGAGACGATGAAACTTTTTTTACGCTTGAGAACGTTTTTAATCGATTTTCATGCAAACGTATGTGGTCCTCACAATAACCCATGGGCTCTGTTCGTGTGGGCTTGCTTCATGGCCTGGCCTGGCCTATCTGCTCCTTCCCTGCACTGTTCGTCTTGTAAAAACGTACTGCCGCTCATATTGACCCGTAAATCAGTCCTACTGAAAATGAGCTTTGCGGAAATTCAACGGCAGTTAAGTTTATTTGCCTCCAATTGATTTTGCTCTTGCCCGCGCATCGTAACTTTACCGATGTAATATATATTACGATTTTTTTTTTTTAATATCGCCCGTTGGAATTTTGGTGCACGTCTTATGTATGCGAACAACGTAATAGGTTTTTATGCGGCTCCTGACCATAATGTCAAATGTTGATACCCAGTAGCATTGGTTGAAGAGGCTTCGCTTTTTTTTAAGTCAGGTAGCCGAGGTAATATAATTTATTCTCTACCTTAATGCAATCCAGCTGAGTGGCTCTATCATTCGAAGGTCGTAAGGGTCAATGGCCATCATCCCTCTTGGATCAATAACAACAAAGAAAAACCATGCTCATCCATAGCTTGTGTAATGCTCTCCAAAAATGCCGTTTGTCCTCGGGAGTGATTCATGAGCGATTAACCCTTTCCCGTTCTGAGACGTCTGCAAGTTGCAGGGTGGGTCCCATTCACCGCTGAATCTTGGAACGTGCAAGCGGCTCGGCGTTAATTTTATTTAGAGATGCACAGCGCCGTTGATTTTAAAGACATTGTATTCACCGCAGAGAAGTGTAGCGATACGACCGCACTCTATTATACCTGGCGCCAAACTGTACCACATGCCCTCCCTCATGGCCGAGTGGAAACCTCGGTACCGATAGTTATTTTATTTTAGTTTTTCTGCCTGCTTTGTTCATAATGGTAGTGATCGCTCCAAGCGGTACGTCTCTAGACCACGATGGGGCTTGGATAGCGGTTCTGCCAGGGAGTGCATGGACAATTCCTTTGATCAATGTGGCCGGTTTTGAATGGGGTTAATCCCAAGAGTGATGCAACTTTTTACGAAACTGTACATCTACATTGGATCATGTTTACAGGAGTGATTGTGTCCCCTTTCCCAGTTAGAGACAGATGGACGGCCAATTCATTAACGCGTTCGACTCCTGTATCGCTGTATTGGACGATGGCCAATAGACAAGACCGGCGAAAAAATGGCAGCCAAAGGAGAGGGGCCCAATCACCATGGAGATGGTGCCATGAGATCGATACATTTTCAGGAGTGAAATATATTGTAGCGGCGATGGCGTGAGGAGGCCTTCATCCGAAAGTGCGAAGAACATCGATGACGATGAGATGAGCTGGACATTGGGTTATGGTGAATCCTGGGTAAGGGTGCTAGAGATGGGCTTGAGGAGGCCTTCACCAAGCAATGGATTTACTGCAGCTGATGATGACGATGATAAAAAGAAGATACAGATTTGTAGATGCCTTCATCCCACAGCGCATAGACAACGGCTGATGATAAAATGAAGATGCTAACGACGACGACGATGATTGATTCTAACCGTGGCCCCATCCATCTTCGTGCTGCCCTCCTCACCTTGGCACTCTGCGTGAGCAGTTGGTTCCACGGTCATATCAGTGGGCGCGATGCCGAGAAGCTGCTGACGGAGAAGGGGCGTGCGGGCAGCTTCCTGGTGCGCGAGAGTCAAAGCAAGCCCGGAGACTTCGTGCTGTCGGTGCGCACGAGCGAGGACCGCCTCGACAACAACGAGATTCGGCCCAAGATCACGCACATCATGATTCGATTCCAGGTGCGACGTGGGTGGAGGACGGCGTCTTGCTAAATACGGAGGCGCGGCGATAAACAATGTTGCAGCCGTCACGGAAAGTGGCAGATGGCAAGTCGGAATGGAGCAGCCTCTTGAGTGTGTGGAGGAACTGTAGCTGATGGGACAGGATACAAGGAGGCTTTGTCGTAATGTGTGGAGGAGCTGTAGCCGAGGGGAAGAGGACACAGCGTGGCTCTGTTTAGCACGTCAATATTAGTGATGAAACATTCTGTGTGACGTTGTCCCGTTCTCTCTCCCCATGTTCTGCGTGGGTTTCCTCCTTGTACTCCGGTTTCCTCCCATAGATTAAATAAAACAAGATACGTGTATGGTCTGTTGAACTCCTTTCGCACCATACGTAGCCAACCGTGCTAATCGGAGGTGCACTCAATGTAACTTGTTTTGGCCAAACATCTCAAATTACTCAAATTACATATAACAACCTGGCAGGGCCCTCCTAAAAGATGTATTGAGACTCAGTGTGGCAATCGTGGTTAAACAAGCGAAGTCGTGACAAGAGTAATAAAGGAATAGGTTTTACCCTTTTAACTGGCACAAAAACTGACACCTTTATTCAAGGCATCATGTTTGCAATAACCACAACACAAGCAGTCAAAATGCAAACAAAATAGACAACTCTGATAATAATATGCACTGTCCTTGAATTTGATTGGTCCACACCCGGGACAGCTTTTCTTAAAGCCTAGTCTCCATTGGTGTTGGACCAGAAGACGCCAAAAGGCGTACAACTCAAAAACAGCGCACTATCAGAGTATTGAGGGCTCGGGGTGAGCATTTACATTATGAGACCTCCTTTGCCAGGAACAAGATATAGGAATAGGTTTTACCCTTTTAACTGGCACAAAAACTGACACCTTTATTCAAGGCATCATGTTCAAGGACAGTTCAAGGACAGTGCATATTATTATCAGAGTTGTGTTTTTTGTTTGCATTTTGACTGCTTGTGTTGTGGTTATTGCAAACATGATTCCTTGAATAAAGGTGTCAGTTTTTGTGCCAGTTAAAAGGGTAAAACCTATTCCTATATCTTGTTACTGGCAAAGGAGGTCTCAATGTAAAAATAAAGAGTAATAAAATTAAATATAGCCAATACAAAACCGTCCTCTATTTATTCATTGCTTTCCTAAGTAAATCTGTCACCTAACCTCTATTTTGACCTTTTCCCCGTCCCCCTACGCTTAGGACGGCAAGTACGACGTGGGTGGTGGTGACAAGTTCGACTCCCTCACCGACCTGGTGGAGCACTACAAGAAGAACCCCATGGTGGAGACCTCTGGGACGGTGGTGCACCTCAAGCAGGTGGGTGCCGAAGTGTCATCCCGCTCTCTGTGCTCGTGCGGCTCGCGTCCAGTCCAGGAAGGCCTGCTCTATCCCACGTTACGTGGTTCTGTTCACACAGGAGGATGATGGGCCCAGTCTCTGATAAGGTCTCTAGATAATAGGTAAATAGACCTCCCCTGGTATGCATGAGTTCGTGGGTTCAATCCCGACCGTGATGATGGCTGTATATTTGGAGTTTGCGTGTCTCGCTCCCCGTGGTCCCGTGGATTTTTCTCCGGCTCCTCCTGTTTTTCCCTCCACATGATAAGCCAATTCGTTGAGCTATCATTTGTGGCGAGATCAGTCCTGAAATAGAACTCTACGGCTCAGTAGGCCTTATCTGATATGGGGAAATCGTTTCCACTGAATGCGTTTTTTGCTTCGCGCGGCACTTTCCAAAGATGCATCTCCTGGTGCGTTAAACGAGGACTTGCCGCACTTGGATGACGATTATTCCGATGGTATATTTCTCACCCTCTGCGCCGAGGCAGCCGTTCAACGCCACCCGAATTAGCGCTTCGAGCATCGAGCACCGTGTCAAGGAGCTGAGCAAGACCGCGGACAGCATGGACAAGTCAAAGCAGGGCTTCTGGGAAGAATTTGAGGTGAGATTCCGGAGTCCGTGTGAAAACCCCCGTGCCGTGTTATGATACCTTGCTGATCTCGTCAAAGAGTAATAAACTATCACACGAACTCCGGTCATCCTCGCAGCCGCCTTTGGCTGACCATCGAATAAAGATGGTCACTGCATCGCGCGCTTTCAGATGCGCTTCTGCGGCCGTCTGGAATGCTTGTCCTTTCCGTTATTAGGAAGCCACTGGAGCCTATGCACTTCTAAGTCTAGATTGACAACTCGGTTTTTTTCTAACTGCTTTTTTAGTTTGTCCTTCCCCTGCACTTTTAATTAACACGGTTGGCTACGTACGGTTCAAAAAGAAGTTAAATATATATACATACGTATATTCCCGTACTATTTGTAATTTTTTTGGCCAAAATATGAAGCAGCTCAAAATCTCCTGGACTGCACCCAATCTCGTCCAGATCCCGGCAAGCTGAGCAAGATTTTGAGCCTGGATATTGCTTCGATGGGCGACTAGATTGTTGTGGGCTGGCACGGGGGGGGCGGGGGTTTAATTTGTCAGACGGTGTAGGAAAATCCATCATTCTAACTGTACCATGTCTTATGTCCGTGTTCTTCATTGCAAGACCCATGGGCCACTGGCGGCCCCACGTGGCCTTGAGTGCGGCCCCTGATGACGTGCGGCCGCCGACAATACAAAAATGTGAAAACACCCCTCCATCATCGTGCTGTCAAACCCCAATGGTTTCAAATGTGTGGCGGCCTTCACACACTTATGATATCTTATCGGTGAAAGTGCCCCCCCCCCCCCCCCCCCCCCCCTCTGAAAATTAGTAAAGAACACTCGTCTATGCGCTCGTCTCTGCCGGCCAATGTACGATAAAATAACCTCTGCGAAACTTCACGGCTTGGGGAGAAACCCTCGTCCAGGAGTGAATTGACAAAGGGGCCTTTCGCGTGCACAGCCGCCACACTTGACGGTGACAAACAGGGTTGACGGACAAGCTCTTTCAAACTGCTATTGTAAAGGCACAATTGACTTGTGCCTTTACAATATGGAAACAGCAACGTATGTACGTTTGGTACGTTCCACGTCTTCCGCACCTTACGTAACCAACCGCGTTAATCGGACGACGACGACAACAACAACAACAAGCCCTGAGTGTGGGCGGCTAGCCATCGAGCTGCCTCAGCAGTAGCCGGGTTGAGAGAGAGAAAGAGAGCCGAGCGTTTGCGTGCGCTTTTCCCCCGTCGGTTACCCCTCCGCCAATGCGCGCGCAGTCCCCGGGCGCTTGCGGAAGAGTGGATAAGATGGGCGATAAGTACGGCACCGCAAGCCCATGCTCGCAGTCGCCGGATCGCGAGGGTGCTCTCAAGCTTTACCGACAGCGAGCCCGGGGGTGCGTTTGCAGCAGTGAACGATGGGTGGGGGGGGGCGTAGGCAAACGTACGACGAGTTAGCTTTTGACTTAAAGCTTTTGTGACAAAAAACGACGACGTTTCGATCGCAACACAAGCGTTCGTCATCGGGGGGAAAAAAAAAAAAAGACGACCGCTTGTGTTGCGATCGAAACGTCGTCGTTTTTTGTGTTTTCTTTGTCATTTTCTTTGAACCTATCTACGTGACTTTACCGAAAGACCCAAGAACATGAGGTAGCTTTTAAAAAACAATAAGTTGGGGAAAAAAACTATGTGTTAGATTTGGTTCGTGTCTCCCAAGTTTTGGACGAAACTTTAGCGGATTTGGCTGTATTTTATTAAAGTGGTAAATCCCGAAAAGCAACAGAACCATATACTGCAGTTTGGTTCACATTTAATGATCGCTGTGGCAGTTTTTGTACCCCACCCCCACCTCCGATGGAAAGAGCAAACCCATGGATCAGAATAATTATTTATTCTGGAGCAATCCCATGAGCTATAACGTCCTTTTTCACAGATGTCCAGTCGTTAAATGATTTGAACTCCGTTGGAAAGCGTTGACTTTCCCACTTATCCTGGATATGCCCACCGAGCCTTGAATATTTGCTCAGGTAGTTTCTACTGGTGATGTTTGCCAATCAGAAATACTGTATTTAGGTGTGTAATTCACTAATCAAATTATTTTAACTTAAGTGGCATCATTGAATGCTTCCCGTGTCTACTTTTGGTTTTAAATTCAACATCTCGGATTGAACAGTTGGGATGAAACTTGGATTTCTTCAACATGAGCTTGCACAGTTGGTATGTTTTTGCACGTCCTCACTTGTTTTTGTTTTCATAGTCCTTCCTGGCTTCCACGTTTTGTGTGCTGCTCTCTAATGTTGCACCTGTTTTCTGTGGGCCTTTGTGTTTGCTCCTTTCCTCCTTTGCCATGAGTCACGATCCAAATCACCCGTTGAATGAAAGGCAGTTTACTCCAATAAGTAACTGGGGGGGGGGGGGGGAGGAAAAAACGGCAGATTTTTTTTCTCTCTTCCCCACAATTTCCTGCCCATTTAAGCAGGTTTCCCACCGCTTTTCAGCGATAAGCAGCAACAGCATGTGACTCACTCGTTGTCCCCGACATGCGCTTACCTGGCTACACAGAGGCAACTGCGGCTGCCAAAAAGTACAGAGAGAAGCATGGCTAGATGCACGCTGGTAATGCCATGGAGATAGAGAGAGAGGAACAAATTAATTAGACGACATTGAGGTTAAGGATTTTAAGAAAAGTAATTGATCGATGGCGGGATGTGTCGCTATAGAAGGGTTGGTGGCCCGGTGGTTGGGAATAACGACGGAGTGACAGCTGCAGGAACGAACACGCCTGAGAGGACATAGTTTAGTTTCATTTAGTTTCATTTATTTGGTATAGCCCTGTGAGCCATTCGGCTCTTGAATCTGCCGCAGAGACGGAACGATGAACTCGGCTGGTGTGCAGGCGCTCTGGATTGTTATGTCGTGAGACCGTAAAAGATTGCGATGCCTTGGAGAGGCCCCCCCCAATCCAGCAGTGGATTTATAATGGTCGACAACGATGAATGCCACTTCGTGTTGGGGCAAACAATGGGGGCATGGGAGGGCAGCGAAGGCATCACATGCTGCCATCAGCTGCCTTTTATTAGTTTTGGCCCATGCGTTGGCTGCACCGTGGAATCCTTGGCACGGGTGTGGGGTGGTCGGGGTAGAGCGCCTCGCCGTCGGCCGCGTACGGAACGGTTCTGCACCGGCCCCAGTCGTTCCCGTCTCTTGAAGAGCACACGGCTTCTAAAGAGACAAGACAGACACAGGAGAGCACTCAGAAGCCTTGGCTATAGCCACCCACCACCGTTGTTTATTCCACCACATCCCCCACGACTTTGCGAGCTCTTCTCCCTCCTCTTGCCGTCGTGAATCATTAATGAGCGATGAACAAAACGAAACCGCTGTGAATTAATGTGCGATTGACACTGCCGGTCACACATGGGAGCTGTCAGGGCATGCCCGATATTAAGACACAGTGCTCGCATTCATTCACAATTTGCCTTTTGGCCTTCCAAAAAATGTAATTCACAATGTGGCGTGATTTCGGATTGCGATGCCTCCTAAGTGGGTTTACAACACTGTTGGCAGCAGAGGGCAGTGTAAAAAAAAATATTGTGTACTGTACTTCTGTTCGCTCGGGTGTATGCCACCAATCCACAATGACCAGCATGGCCAAACAATCCCACAAGACCCGCAAAGGGTTGTGGAGGCCTTTATCCAGCAGTGGATTGACAAAGGATTGTTATATAAACTAAACAATTAAAAACTTTTTTATTTTATCTGGTAAGGCCCACTGAGCTATATAGCTCTTTTTTTAGAAGCAACCTTGCCACAAATGATAGCCCAACGAAGTGGCTTATTACGTGGAAATGTATAGCAGCCAATTACTCTGAACGCATGTTTCTAAATGTGGAGGGAAAAACCGGAGGACCCGGAGAAAAGTCCACGCGACCACGGGGTGAAAGACATGCAAACTTCAAATATACAGGCGTCGGGGTCGAACCTACAACCCGCTGTATACCAGGTGAGGTAGTTAACATCTTGCCACCGTGGCGCCCTATATGGACGAACAGATAAAAGTCTTCAGCCTTGATGACTTGGAACAAGGAGAGGAATTGGTTTGTTTAAAGGGCCGGGGAAAAAAATCGAACAGAGGTGAAAGACAGAGTGAGCCGAGAGAGGTCGGAGCAGGTTGACCATAACTATAAACGGTACCCTTCAGTAGAATTTCTGTTTCGTTCTTCGGGGTGAAAGACATGCAAACTTCAAATATACAGGCGTCGGGGTCGAACCTACGACCTCCTATATACCAGGTGAGGTAGTTAACATCTTGCCACCGTGGCGCCCTATATGGACGAACAGATAAAAGTTCAGCCTTGATGACTTGGAACAAGGAGAAGAATTGGTTTGTTTAAAGGGCCGGGGAAAAAATCGAACAGAGGTGAAAGACAGAGTGAGCCGAGAGGGGTCGGAGCAGGTTGACCATAACTATAAACGGTACCCTTCAGTAGAATTTCTGTTTCGCTCTTCGTATCTACACAGCCTCTCATCTGACCATGCCAACGGCGAGCTCTGTGGCACATCTACTGAGCATACAGGTGGTGCAACTGTGCTGGAGAGGCCCCCCAGGTGCTGTGCTACAAAGAAAGGGTGAAAATTGTACCAATAAATGATACATTTCATTTTATACGGCATCATTCACGCCAATTGCATCTCGCAGTGCCGTACAATAATTGTGTATATATATAAGGGATACGTCCTATTTATAACAATTCTTGAGTAAATGAAAACCCGAAGGAAAAAGTTTTGAATACACGAAAAAAGGAATGCCATAAAAACACAAGGTGTAAACAGCAACAAAACGCCGTCGCAACAGCAACCAAACTGGGTGCCCCGTTTCAACCCCTTGCACCAGAGTTCATGCTCATCACGCCACACCAGTGCAAACCAACGTGTTAGGTCTCCTTATCGTCGCTTGTCTTTGTCGCCCCCCCCCTCTCCCCAGGCCCTGCAGCAGCAGGAATGCAAACTTCTCTATAGCCGCAAAGAGGGGCAGAGGCCGGAGAGCAAAGCCAAGAACCGCTACAAGAACATCCTGCCGTGTAAGCGTGGGCTTTAGCGAGCCCAGCGCGGAATTCCCCCCCCCGCCCCCAACCCTCTCTCGTGTCCACCGCGTCCCAGAGGCACGCTCGAGCTGCTGAGCAATCGGCTTGATTGGCGTCACGTTGGCACACATTTGTTGCTGCGTCACTGCTTGAGGCAATTCCTCCAGCGGCAAGTAATGTCGTCGGCAGCAGCAGCAGCAGCAGCAGCAAATCTGCAGGTCTTCCCCCATCCATCCATGCTTCTTAGCCACCCGAGTGTCTCACTGACTGGGATCCGCGGGGGTGCCGTCTCTGCACATCCGTGCACTCGGGACCAAGTTCGCCCTTGGCGCACTTCGCGAGTATCGCCGCCTCCATCGATTGCGAGTTGATGAATTGTCACGATTGGCGGTTGCCAATCGATTCAAGACTATATTGTTTTCGTCTTTTTGTCTCTGTTCACACTCTTATAAGGTACGTCTTGTTTTTATATATATCTCAAATCAACGCGTTCGTCAATAACACTGTGGTCTTAAAAGGAAAAAAAATGATAATAGGTGATGTTTCGGGCAATCACATACCTCGAAGCCCCTTCTCAGTGCCATACCTTATTACAGACCAATTCAGATCTTATTGGTCACCCCGTGCTTTTATAAATCTCAATGTTCATCCTACAAAGTCTTATCACAAGGGAGAAACACAAACAAATAGACAGAACATTTCTCTTTTTTGCCTGTATTGAAACGACTGTACGCCGTATGGACCTGAAAACTCAATTTCCTTGTACAAGAATACGGGGTAATGTTTTTTTTTTTTTCATTCACTTGGATATCAAAACTGAATGTTTTAGTCCTCGGAAAGAAATGCGCCAAAGTACGTTGGAACATATTTAACGGTGCGTTTTTTTTATTTGTTGGATATTTCACGTCAACTCACTCGCTGCACTTGAGAACCCGGTTGAATCGCAGGCGGCTGAAAGCCTGCGATTGAAGCCCAGAAGCTCGGTGTCGATGACTCGTCTCAGTCACACGATGTTATTGGCCCACAGAAAGAACCCCCCCCTCCTGGCCACACTAATCTTTTGAAGTTTGATATTGGCTGCCCGTCTTCACAGTCAAGATCCCAGTTTTAAACTTCTATGCCCACTGGTATCACTCTCACTAACTCAAGCGCACTTGTGTTTTTTTGAACAGTCAACATGAAGGCTCTATTTTGTGTTACCGAGCCACGAGTTAGATTTTCTGAAATTCTCACCAGGCACCTCTCTCCACACTTGTCAGTTTTTGACCTGTGTGCCTGTATAACCCTCTGTCTCCAAGACCCCCTCCATACCCTGTACGCACAGAGGGCCACTTAGTGCCGAGACAGCTGCTACATCTCCGTATGCATTGTTTATTATGTATTCATATTCTTCGAATTCCTGCGGTCACGAAAGCTTTAAGTCAAGATCTTCTCGTCCTTGTTTTTACCTCTAGCCAATCACTGTCCTTCCCCTTTAACGGATTATTTTTCGATTTAAAGCTTTCGTGACTGCAGGGATTCATATTATTGGTTCTTTCGGTAAAGCCACGTAGAAAGATTTATTATGTATTGGTTGTGGAGTAGGAGACAACCGGAGAGCCCAGAGAATACTCATGCACATGAGTGTTTTACACCCGACACTGCTAACTCCTGGCCACTTAACATCCCTACCCTACGACACCTTGCAAGCCCTGGTTTGTCTTCCCGTCCAAAAGACTAATCGGGCTAAACCCTGCTTCGCGTATTCTGAGACTTCGTGAATGCGGGGTAATTTTGTCTCAGGCGAGTGAAGTCATTAGTGTCATCGCTGGCAAGCACAAGTCATGTGCCAATTCACCTTAGCATAGGTTTAAATTTATATATATACAGAAAAGACAAAGACGCCCCGTATAGCCTTAACAGACTGATGGGACAAGTGCTGTTAGCGAGCACTTATGAAGGCTAGAACGGTACACGAGGGGGTGGGTGGCCATCACCACGCCCGACCGCCTTTGATTCCCCAGTTACGATGTTTACACCACACCAGGTACTCATTTGAGGCCGAGTCGACCAATGTGAGGCCCATGACCGGTTCAGATAGTCGTCACTGGTGTTGGCCGTGAGTGGGAATCAAACTCTGGTCGCCGGGTTTGTAGTGCAGCATAGCTAACCGCTACACTACCGCTCCCACGTAAATATATACACACAAACACACACAGGATAAAGCAGTGAACTGGTGCGGTGAAATGCTGATAACGCAGCATGGGGAAATGACGCTGAGATCACCAGATCTACACTCATGCCCAGTCTTGCTGTTGTGTTTTTTTCTGGAAAGTCGTGTTTTTCTTGGGAGTGAGACTCCTTCGCCGGGCAAAGGGAGGCTCGTGACACCGCACCGATGCTGTGTAAACCTCCTACAGCTGTTTGTCAATCTATTGCTGGATGGAAGGGCAACTCCCCACCGCCGCCGAGCTATGTTGGTCTTGGCCTTTGTTTGACCGTACTTCACCGCGCTGCTCCGTGCGAGTTTGCGAATGGGGTGGGGGGGGGTAACCCAGGAACCCGTTCAGATGTCGCTCGCCACCCGTGGTAGCCGTAGCAACAACAACTGATACCAGTTGATTGTGAATGTTCCTCTGGTTTTCTTTTATAAAGTGAGAAGCCTTATAGTATTATAACTTGTCAATTTTACCCAGGGCTGGGTGGGGAACACATGTCTGTTGTCTGTCTATCTGTGCAAGTCTGGCAGCCTATCAGTCTTCTCTATCCATCTGCCATTCTGTAATTGAGTATATTTATACGTGTAAATGTCTTTACATCTGTAGGTATGTTCATTGCATGGATTTCTGCTTGTCCATTGGGCTTACCAGTCTGTGTATCTCCGTTTGTAAATCTTTCAATTTGCATCTGTTAACGTAGACATAGGCCAACCTGTCAATGTTATTCCATCATTCTGTCGACACCGATAGTGCTATCTCATAAGCTAACGCTGCATGTGTGACCGAGATGACAACATTTTTGGCATGAATGCAATCTGTTTAATCTTAAGGTTTCGATAAACAATCTTTTACAATGTTTGCTGCGGTAATTCTGTGCACTCTGTTCTGCTTGGTGTGTGCTTATCTGTAGTAGGAAATATAGTATTTTCGTAAGTTGCGAAACAATAATATCATGGGGGTAATGTTTACCCATGGTAGCAAATATCATTGCGTGTGCTGCTAATCTGTAATAGGAAGCATCGCCCACGTGCAATTTTCTGGTTATCTATAGTGGAAAATTCAGCCACCTCCAACTCAAAATTAAACAATGTAAAATCACACGAAATACTAGTAACTGCTACGCACTGTCCCTTTTGTATAATCCAGTCCTGTGCAGGTTGTGGGGGTTATTTGACCAGACTTGACCATGTTGGTCAGTGTGAGATTTAGAGAAGGCTGGAAGCATACATGTGGAGGGTGTGGACATACAGCACAACATTGGTTTTTGCTCATGCATTGTACTGGCCCACTATGTAGCCCTGAATGCCCTCGTACCAAAACAGCAACATTCAATTAACCCTTTCCCATTCCGAGATGTCTGCACAATGCAGAGTGGGTCCAGTTCATCGCTGAATCCCGAAAGGCGCAAGTGGTTAGCGTTAATTGTATTTAGAGAGGCATAGCGCCGTTACTTTTTTTAAAGACATTTTACTCACGGCAGAGAACTGTCGGGACACGACCACACTCTACGATAGCTGGCGCCAAACTGCCACACGCCCTCCCGAATGGCCTCGTGGGAGCCTCGGCACTGATAAAGTTACTTCATTTTTTCATCTGATTCCGTTCCGATGACGTACGATCCTTTCCTATGACGTACACGTACATCATCGGAACGGAATCGGAAGAAAAACTTACGACGGACACGTACATCGTTGGAATGGGAAAGGGTTAATTGCAACATAGGTTCAAAGGGCATTGTAGCTTTTTAAATCTCATCGCCGTTCACTGGACTGCAATATTCTTAACATTTAGCAACCTGCCTCTGCGCCACGCAACGATTGTTTTTTTCTAGGTGGGTGCCACGGGAGAGTCTCGTCATTGTTGTCGTTTCCGTTATGTTTTTCAGTCGATCACAACAGGGTGATTCTGAAGGATGGTGATCAGTCCATTCCTGGCTCCGACTACATCAACGCCAACGTCATCACAGTGAGTCCCCCCGGGGAAAGGTCCAGCAAAAACAAGTCTCTATAAATAACACAAACCACGCGGCACAGCCACGTCGGCCAGCCTGCCCCCACGTGTATTCCTGCGCTATTAGAATTCTCATTTGTGGGATGACCTTTTTTTTTTCATTTGTATGGATGGATGCTGAAGTTTTGGGCATGTCGTTCCGATCGCAAAGATCTTTGTTAAATTCCGTGTTCCTTGAGTTCAGAATCGGAGTACAGTATAACCTTGGATTGCGAGTAACTTGGTCTGCGAGTGTTTTGCAAGACGAGCAGAAATGTTAAATACGAATTTGATAAACGAGTGAGGTCTTGCATTACGAGCAGTACGTATACGCTTTGTCTGCCGAGCGTCACGTGATCACAACTGATATACGAGTGCTTTGATGTACGAGTGCTTTGTATTACAAACACGTTTCCGGAACGAATTATGCTCGCAATCCAAGGTTTTACTCTATTTAATTTTGCTGGAGGAATCCGATGAGCTATAAAACTCTTTTTCACAGATGTCCAGGAGGGGCGGTTCAGAACGTTGGAACAACAAACGATATGAAGACACGATAGCAGTGCAAACTACAAAGAAGGCAAACAAATCGCCCAAAAACATTCAATTTATGGCCAGGACTAATATCAGCGGCGATTCTCTGAACCAGTCGTGTAGTGCCTCCTATAGGTCTAAATCCGCCTTAAATGAGTACCTAAGGCGGTATGTAATCATGAGCACTGAGGACACAATCGCGACTGGGCACAGCGCTAGCCACACCTCCCTCTCACCCCCTTTTGTGCGCGGTGTCAACCTTCGTAGGAGCTCGCTAACAACAGCCCGTGGTGTGGGGGGCCACGTGGTATCTTTGGCTTGTGTCAGCACACGCATATCCGTGCGTGGGTATGTGTGCTCACGAGTGTGCGTGTGTGTCTGCGTTTGCGGGGAGCGGAGTGCAGCGCGCACCGTGCCACGAACCCGGCGACCCGAGTTTGATTCCCGATGATGGGCCAACACCAGTGACGATTATCTGAACCGGTCGACTCTGCCTCAAATGAGTTCCTGGCGTGGTGTGTAAAAAATCGCCAATAGGGAGACAAAGGCGGTCGGGCGTGGTGCTGGCCAGCCCACCCCATCATGTGTCTTTCCGGCCTTAATAGGTGCTCGCAAATAGCGCTCGCCTCAACGGTCTGTTAAGGCTACACGGGGGATCATTGTCTTTCTGTGAGCAGGCAGACATCGACAATGGGCGAGTGGGCAGCAAAGCGCCGAAACGGTACATAGCAACGCAGGGCTGCCTACAGAACACCATCGTGGACTTTTGGAGGATGGTGTACCAGGAGAACTCGCGTGTCATCGTCATGACGACCAAGGAGGTGGAGCGCAGCCGGGTATGTCCCCTCCCTCCTCACCGCTATCCCATTTCCACCCGGCCAGTCTCCCCTCCCGACCAGTCTCTCCCTCCCGGCCAGTCTCTCCCTCCCCTCCCGGCCAGTCTCCCCTCCCTCCCGGCCAGTCTCCCTCCTCCCTCCCGGCCAGTCTCCCCTCCCTCCCGGCCAGTCTCCCCCTCCCTCCCGGCCAGTCTCCCCTCCCTCCCGGCCAGTCTCCCTCCTCCCTCCCGGCCAGTCTTCCCTCCCCTCCCGGCCAGTCTCCCTCCTCCCTCCCGGCCAGTCTCCCCTCCCTCCCGGCCAGTCTCCCCTCCCTCCCGGCCAGTCTCCCTCCACCCTCCCGGCCAGTCTCCCCCTCCCTCCCGACCAGTCTCCCCTCCCTCCCGGCCAGTCTCCCTCCTCCCTCCCGGCCAGTCTCCCCCTCCCTCCCGGCCAGTCTCCCCCTCCCTCCCGGCCAGTCTCCCCTTCCCTCCCGGCCAGTCTCCCCCTCCCTCCCGGCCAGTCTCCCCCTCCCTCCCGGCCAGTCTCCCCCTCCCTCCCGGCCAGTCTCCCCCTCCCTCCCGGCCAGTCTCCCCTCCCTCCCGGCCAGTCTCCCCTCCCTCCCGGCCAGTCTCCCCTCCCTCCCGGCCAGTCTTCCCTCCCCTCCCGGCCAGTCTCCCCTCCCGGCCAGTCTCTCCCTCCCCTCCCGGCCAGTCTCCCCTCCCTCCCGGCCAGTCTCCCCTCCCTCCCGGCCAATCTCCCCCCTCCCGGCCAGTCTCCCCCCCCTCCCGACCAGTCTCCCCTCCCTCCCGGCCAGTCTCCCCCCCCTCCCGGCCAGTCTCCCCCTCCCTCCCGGCCAGTCTCCCCCTCCCTCCCATCACAATGTCTCTGACACGAACACTCGTGTGGTTGCAGAACAAGTGCGTGCGCTACTGGCCGGAGGAGAGCTGCACCAAGGACTACGGCTACCTGCGCGTGTACAACGTGCGCGAGCTCTCGCTGCACGACCACATGCTGCGCCAGCTGGAGCTCACACACGTCGAGCACGTGAGTGGCGGGGGTGGGTGGGCGAGCGGCCGGTTCACCGGCACGTTGCCTCGCAGATTTCAGCATTCTGCACTCGACTGTGTTTTTGCCGCTCCAAGGTTTTACGTTCTGGAATTCATTTTCAGGTTTCATCGTTTTTTATGTTATTGTTCCCCTTCTTACGGCTTCTTCGCGATTGTACTTTCTGAAGGTTTCAATCTTCGGGTTTCACCTGTACTGATGTTACGATTGTAATCGCTAATTCCGTGAGATTGTCCATCGCGTATCAATTACTCTTTGGTTCTTTCGGTAAAGTCACGTGGAAAGAAATGTAATTGAATAATAGAATACGACGTTTCGATTGCAACACAAGCAACCATCATCAGGTACAAATGAATGAGAAAACAAACATAGTAAACTTGGAAATATAATGCAATACAACACAGAACGTCGGCCAACACAACAGTCCGCACCCCACCTGGTTGATTACGTTCTTCCAAATATTTTGCTAAATTTGAGAGAGAGATAAAACATAGACACGGAGACACACAGACAGACACAAGCAGAGAGATACTCGTACAGAGACGATCAGAGAGAGACACACACATAGGCCCACAGAAAGACAAGGTCTCTGTGTCGAGGCCATAAATAGAGAGAGAGGTGGGAGGGGGTTTGGGGCAGAGGGGGAGTTGTGTGGAATTCCTGCCCGTAGCGGCCGGAGGACAGAATGGACTTATAAACAAGCATGGAACAAGCACGGTAGAAAGCAAATTTAGTCAAATTAGGAAGTATAATGCAATGCAACACAGAGAGTCAGTTAGCACACAGTTAACGCATCACCTGGTTGATTATGTTCTTCCAAGGATTGCTAAATTAGAAGTTAAGTGTGAAACAAACAAGCACGGCAAATCCTCCCTGTGGAGGTGGTTCAAACTAGATTCGAAGCTTTCGTGACTGCAGGAATTACTCTTTGGTTCTTTCAATTACTTTTTTCAATTTATTTCGATGCCTTATTTGCTGCGTTGTACGTCTCTATGATAAAACACATGCAGAATCGAAAATAACGTATTTTACGCAGCCAATTATATTCGTGTCTCGTACGCCTCGCAATAAATTATCTAGATTGAAAACTAATTTCTTTATAACTGCTTTTTGTGTTTAGTTTGTCCTTCCCCGCACCTCCGATTAGCACGGTTGGCTACGTATGGTGCGAAAGAAATTCAACATACAGGCATACAGTCCATGAATCGTTACAAGTGAAACTGTTCGATAGAGGCGCACACACTGTTGTAATAGGGAGGCAACACTATTTATTAGCTAACACAACGGTTAAGTCTTAACAGTACACACAGGGTGGTGACCACCGACCTATTCTCTCTAGCACTGACACTCTGATAGGACTGGCGGTGGCCAAGCCAGGAGGGCTACTGCTTGGCCACGCTGACTGGAGGCTTGACTTCACTCTTCATGAGGCGTCTTCATCCCGGACCCGAGCAGCCTCGCACCTCGTGCGGAGCCCGCTTACACGCGCCTCGGCGTGGCCAGGTCACACCCAGGCCACGCCCACCTTCGCGTACCCTCGAGAAGGCTCTGCTTCTGGCACGTGGCCCCCAAGGTCCCCCTGGGGTCCCCGGCCCCCACCTTGATCCGGTCACGTGTCCGGCCGGGTTCATCCAGAACGCCACGGCCTCACACAACCCCCGTGGCACTGACCGCGACGGCCTCCAGACTCCCTGACCCGACCGTGACGTCATTCCCACATCCACACGTAGTGACGTCATGTGTGTGTACAGACTCACACGGCAGTGACGTTACAAGTCACTACACAAGTGATAAGTTGCAGCAGCAGCAGCCGTCCTTGAGTGATCGCGACCATTTGCCTGAGGTGTTGCGGGGCCTCTGTATCTTGCATTGACACGTGTCCGTCCATGCCGCTCGTTTGCTGAGACTTGGTCCTCACAGTCTCTTTCCGCTGCGCGTGTGTCCACTCCGCAGCTGGATGACACGCGCGTCGTGTGGCAGTACCACTTCAAGGCGTGGCCCGACCACGGGGTCCCCAACGAGCCAGGAGGGGTCCTCAGCTTCCTCGACGAGGTCAACCGCCGCCAGGAGGGCATCTCCGAGGAGGGGCCCATAGTCGTCCACTGCAGGTGCCTGCACACACACACACGCGCGTGTGCGTGTGTGACTTCTGTAGCAGGCCTGTGACGGTTCTGCCGCTTTGGAGAGTCAATGCATGTGTATGATGTGAATTATAATAATCGTCATGATGAAGGTTAACACTTTCAAAGGAAGTATAATCGTAAGTAAAAATTATTTTAATTCATTCATGGATATAGAAATGGAGCAGTGGTTAGCACACTGCACTGTGAATCGGGATAGCTTGAGATTGATTCCCGGCCACGGCTAACGTCAGTGACGAGTGTGATATCTGAACTCATCCTGGGCCCGCCTCTGACCCACACACTGACCAGCATCACGAAGCAATGGTCACATTGACAGCAGTGAATTGACAAAGGGCTGAGCGAGCCTCAGTATTTTGCGCGTATGATACGCGACAATGCGTATATATTTTCAAGACAATGCATATGCAGGCAGTCCCCGGGTTACGGAAGGACCCCGGCTTACGGAAATCCGACTTGACGTCAATTGTCCCATGAATCGTATATATAAAAAAACCTATATGCGGAAATGTTTGCGTTAATTACGTAAGCGTAAATAGTGCAGCGCGGATGAATACCGCAGAGAGCCGCCTTCACTGAGCCCGAGCGTCACTAGGATTAAAGTAAATGGATTTTTTCTTTGCGTTCCGTAATTCTTTTCCTCTTGTAGCATTGCTTGATTGATTATTTTCTATGCTTAGAACTATCTATTTTACCCATGTTTCTATTGCTAGTTTTCTTGATTTTATGTTTACTTCATGAGTTATTCACTGCATGAACTGTGTGTATCTGTGTGCGTGCGTGTGTATGTGTGTAGACGAGCCTAGTCCACCTTTGTGTGTGCGTGTGTAGTGGGGAGCGATAGTGTGGCTTTTTTCACTCCAGCGCTGTCCTGCAGACAGTCTCGTCCCTTCACCTGATGAAGGCCGCTTGTGTTGTGGCCGAAACGTCGTGATTTTTTGTTATTTTTACCTACGTGACTTTACCGAATAGAACCAAAGAGGATAGTGTAGCGGTTAGCGCGCTGCGCTAAGAACCTGGCGACACGGGTTCGATTCCCGCTCACGGCCAATACCAGTGACGATTATCTGAACCGGTCCCGGGCCTCCCCTAGGTCGACTCAGCCTCATATGAGTACCTGGTGTGGTGTGTAAACATTGCCACTAGGGAGACAAAGGCGGTCGGGCGTGGTGCTGGCCACCCACCCCCTCGTGTACCGATCCGGCCTTCATATGTGCTCGCTAACAGCACTTGCCCCTACAGTCTGTTAAGGCTATACGGGGGATCTTTGTCTTTGTAAAGTCTAGGCCTAGCCGAATGCATGGTAAACATTTGGGAGTGACTGCTTTCTGTTAAAATTAATACGAAATTTGACGAATTGAGACAGTATATGTTCCATCAGTTTAACAATGGGTAAGTGTTAGGGTAGATAGTCAATGAAATGAAAGAATCGTAGGAAGTGCAGAGGGTATGTACAGCGATACGATATGGGTAGCGATCGAAAAACGGACGTCAGCGTGATACGGTACTGAGAGAGACAAGGATAGGAGGGGTTGTACAACTAATGGATTTTATAATTGATTTTGGGGAAAAATTGTTCAGTTTCTGACGTACAGAAAATTCTGGTTATGGATCGTTCTCTGGAACCTCTAACGCTTCCGTAACCTGGGGAGCATATTTGTTTACATGTTTTGCCACAATTCTGTATTTGATGTTTGAACATTTTAACAATTCTTGTTTTATCGCCAGAAATGGGCAAAGCCCTCTCTGATTTCTTTCAGTGTGTGACGCACGCACAAGACACATCTTCGGGTAAACAATTCACGGTGCTCGCCGTCTAACTTCTGCAACTTTTATTGTAGCGCTGGGATTGGCAGAACGGGCACGTTCATCGTCATCGACATCCTCATCGACATCATCCGCCAGAAAGGTTCGCGCGCCGCGACGTCGTGGCCTGCTCTTCCGGGCACCCCACTCGACATGGTGCCTTCTCACGAGAGAGCCGTGTGATCTATTACATTTACACCAGCACCACTGAACAAATTAACTCGTTGGTGTACCTGAACTTGGTACCCCAGCGAGTTGTATATTTAAGTAATACATCTGACAACTATCATTCCTTGCAGAGGAAACACATGCCAATTAACTGATTACTAATCTATCATGTAATTACAATAACCCCCACCCCTCCTCCGCCTCTGATCTCTGATTGGGTTCAGTTATGACGTCGTCCTGCTCTATTTAAGACCGGAAGCAGGTGGATGGCTTCGCTATCCTGGCAAATCGCCCAATGATGCTGTATATAGTTACCAGCGAAAAATGTGGATTTACTCTCTAATACACCAGTGGGCTGAAGTCAACTAATTGGCACGTTGTTTACGTGACAAACCTTACTGGCTGTGTCGGGTGGTGGAGGCTTACGACACATTTATACTTACGCGATCTAACCCAAAAAACCTTAAATTTTGATTTAAAGCTTTCGTAACTGCAGTAATTCATATTCTTATTTTATTGTTTCCCTTCAACGTGACTTTACCGAAAGAGCTAAGAATACCAAAAAACCTTTATTATGTATATTTGGAGTCCATGTGTTCTTTCCCTCTCCCCGTGGTGGTCAAGTGGATTGTTCTCCGGGTTCCTACAGTTTGTCTTCCGCATTTATAAACATGCGTTTAGATTGTTTGACCGCCACTATAAATCCCCACATGTAATGGCGATATGAGCCACGATGACTTGTGGCCAGCTCACCTGTGAAAAAGAGCTAATGTGCTCGGTGGGCTTTACCTGATGAATATCGGTTTTATTTTTTAAAAATCTGGTTTTCAAGTATGTAGTGTGTTGATTGACTCGGCCAAATCAGTAATTACTGCAAAGTAAATGTTTTTGTTTGCACAACTTTGGCTAATTTTAGCTATCACACTAAAAAACACATTTCTGAGTGACATGAACACATTTCTGAGTGACATGTAACAAACAATGTTTGTGTGCCTTGTGTGAATAAAGAAGTCTGTTCACGACACTTCAGGATTCGTTTTGTGGCGTCAACTTCTGGGGTTAAGTAAATTTTTGCCCCTTTTAATAGATCTCTATAAGAGTGAATCGCATTTCCCTGTGCTAGACTTTGATGTGTAAATTGCAGTCCCGTTTAGAAGGCACTGTGAGTTGTAGTGGAGACTGGCAAAGGTACGCATGTATGTAATATCTGTATGTTGAACTTATTTCGCACCGTACGTAGCCAGCCGGGCTAAGCAGTGCAACAGTGATGCGATTTTGCCACACGTGCATGGCCACTCATCGACGTCTCATTGCTCGATTTCCTTTCCCTGCCCAGGGCTCGACTGCGACATCGACATTCCCAAGACCATCCAGATGGTGCGGGCGCAGCGGTCGGGCATGGTGCAGACGGAGGCGCAGTACAAGTTTGTCTATATGGCGGTGCAGCAGTACATCGAGACGGTGCAGAAGAGGCTAGCCGAGGAGCAGGCAAGTAACTCGTGCAGCGAAATAATCCGCGCTGTCATTGCTGTAACTTGCCATGACTCGGGGGGGGGTGGGGGGGGGGGAGGCGCAGGGGGCTGGTCCGGATTTTAATCGAGAATCTCTCCGAGGTTTTTCTCGTCAGTTTTTTTTTGCGCGCAGGTTTCAGCTGGATCGTTTTCTCGTTTTGTTCCGTCTCTCTTGTAGGCGTGCGCCCTCCGTTCGCCCGCATGCACAGTTTGCATTAAAAAAACGCGGGTGTAATTTGAGCGAGCTGTAAAACGAATCGTTTCTCGCGCGCACGGCTCGACGAGTGGATCACTTTTTTCCCAAGACAATAAAGAAACGCGCCTTTTATATGTGGCGCCGCAACGCGCGACCGCATCTCAGGAGGCTGTACAGAATAATAGCTTGGCGTGGTTATTGTTATAGAGCGAAAGCGACAGCCAAAGGCGGAGCTGGGGGGAAAAGGAAGATCTTAAGCCTGGGCAGTGGGGGGGGGGGGGGGGGGTGGGCGGGGAGCCGACAGCACAGACGGCTCGAGGAAGGGAACTCCAAACCGTCATTGCGCGCGAGATGATTGATTCTATGCTGCCTGGTAACCGTGCCGACCTTTCTCAGCAGAAGATAAAGAAGAAGGGAGTGGAGTACACCAACATCCAGTATTCCGCCGCCGACTTCGGGGGCGGCGAGGGGAACATGACGCCCCTCACACCGGGCCGAGTGTCGCTCTCGTAAGTCCGTCGTCGTTGTCGCCATGATCTATTCACTGCTGGATTAATTACTCCCCAACCCCCCCCCCCCCTACCCTCTCTGCTGGGCTCCGCATATTCTCATTTGGGGGGGGGGGGGTTCTGTGAAAAGATAGTTTGGTTCCCAAACTGTCCTCTTGTCTGGGGGGCCATCAAAGGAACACGTGGCAGGGTGGCGCTCCAGTGGGTAAGACTCGTCTATCACAGCCAAAACGACCTGGATTTGATTCCTGACTCGGGCGCTTTACTGCGTGGAATGTGTTTATCCCTCCCCCTGTTCTGCATGGGTATTCTCTGGGTTTTCCAGTAACCTGCCATAGCTATAAAAAATATATATTCCATACACTCTATCTGGTGTTCTCCTAACATCCATTATGCTAAACAATTAGCTGCAAAATTGCTCATTTGAGGTTACACACAGCGAAATCGGTTCCTACTGCGTAAACTTGGCAGGACCCTCCTGAAAAAGAATCTGGAGACTCGGTGAGACTGTGCCAGGGCTAACAAGCAGATTCATAATAATTACAACAACCCAAAAACACATCACATAGCAATGTAGCCACATTCGCGAAAATCCCACGGAGTAACGACACCGCACGCTGATGGAGCGCCACGTGTGTTTACACAGTGGTTAGTAGTGGGTACACTGTCCGATTCACTGGTGTGGAGGATTTGTTTTTGCGGGATACGGTACAATATGACGATGCAGGGAACGCTCCGCACTCTCATCAGGAGGGTCCTGCATTGGGGTGTTTGGACAAATCGTTTTTTTTAAATGGTATTTCTCTTGATTCGTAATTGATTTGTTTTCTTTGGGTAAGATCACGGAAGTAAACTGCGTGTCGTATAGCCTCCTCCACCAGACACAGCCAATTCATGGAGTCGTCGTGTGAACAAGCGTGCCATTTTGTTACTGCTTCAGCAGCACTGGTAGTGTTGTTGGAGAGCAACGGACGATGTTTTTCAATTCGTTACGACGTTTCGCTGGTAGTTACAACCAAAACATTAATTGTGAAAGCCTACGTGTTTAAATGTGTAGTGTTCTTCTTACAGGTTAAAGCCAATGTAGCCAGAGAAAACCCCATAAGTGAGAGAGGACAACTCAGAAATGCCCATGCAGCGAGGTCTACAAACTGCCATCTCCTGACGACCCGGCAGTTTGGCGAGTTTTTTTTTTGTGGAGCTTCACAAATGTACGCGCTTTTTTCCTTCCAAGACGCTTCATTTCACACGTGTCCTGCCGCGCCGTGTTGTAATCTAATTTCCCCCTCCCCGGCCATCGCGTTTGCAACGGCCGCAGGAGCCAAGACTCGGCGCGACTTGGCCTCTATGAAAACGTCTCGAATCTGCCGCTTGGCAAGGCCTCCGGCAAGCTGTGATGGCGGAGCGTCTCGGTGCAGGTGGGTGCCAGGTGAAGAGCCGTCGCTCAGAGTCGACAGCGCAAACAAGATGGTCAGACTCGTGGGCATTGGTTGGATCAGTTTCGCTACCCGAGAATGTTCTTTCTGGTGAAGCTTCGAGTTTCGGTGACCTGTTGATTCGACGCTCTCACCTCATCAGAAGTGGCCAGGTGGCACAAGGGACTGATATTTACGTCGAACTATGCTGCCCTACTTGTTTCGCCAGCAATCATTTTCTTTTGTTTGGCAGTTATCAATGATCATATGTATCCTAATGAAACACAGTTTGTTAAATACCATCAGTGCATGCGATGCCAGCTCCTAATCAGTGACTCACCATCGTCCAAAAGCATTCTGCAGTTTTACATATTCTTTCTGGTGCAGTGGAAACATGCATCAAACCGAAACTGATGGCAAACCCAAGTATTTTTTGGGGGGGTTGATGGTCATGGCATACCCACGTTGTGTCTTACAGCGCAACCTTTCCACATTCAGAACGTGTACTGGCAACTTTGCTTTGCCATTTGTGATGATCACCAAAATGTTATTCAAAGTGCTTCGGTGTTTTCAACCGTTTTGGTTACATATGAAGATCCAGGACGGTCATGGCTATGCGCCGCTTCTCTGTGGCTGCCCCCACAGTCTGGAACGCAATCCCCTCTGCACATTCGCAGCATCCACCTCCATCATATCCTTCAAGTGACACTTAAAAACTCACCTCTACAACCTGACTTTCGAGTCACTCTGAGCTTGGCTCCGCACCTTTGAGTTGCGGCCATTCCGTCCGCAAATTTGCGCGCGTTACAAATTGCATTATTATTAAGAAGGGCCATTGCCTGAAATGTCACCTATTTACATATTGTTTTCTTTGTAAGGCCACGCAATGGCACATGGTAAATGTTCACGTTGTGGGCAGCATAGGACAGTCCTGCAACATCCATTGTTGTATTATACTTCTATGCTGCCATGTTTATGCTCTCCCGCCTTCACCATACCACACTGAAACCACCCAGGAAGTATGGTTAGATAACCCACACCGCATGGGGAGGCCCTCATCCACCAGTGGAACAACAAAAGGGTGATGTGAAGGGTGCTATTGGAGGATCCTATTACCCAAATATTGGCAAATATGGTTTGGCAACAGGAATGAAAACTTCCAATCAGGTCGCAGACAGAGGTCACCTAGCTGCCAAACGTCGTGTACTCTACAGACCACTTATACTTCTATGAAATATACTGTTTAAAACAAAAAACGACATTTTCATTGGCTAAACAGAACTCTGTGATCCTTTGGCATGGTAATACAAAGTTGTCTGCGGTCATTACTCTCAATGATTGCCCTCGCATTGAACCTAAAGACAAACACATCAAGATTATTTGTTGTGTGGACTTTTACACATCTGATCAAAATATATACACACACATATAAATAATACTGGCATTTAAAGAAATTGGTGGCTTTCTTGTTCCAGCTAATTTTAAGATTGTGGTTCGTCGTTAACTAAACACGCATCATTTGTGTTTTTGCGTGCGCGTGTGTTTTTAAAGATGGGTGCTGGTTCAAGGAGGAGAGAAAACATTTTTTCTTTGTAAAGGAACAGTTTTTATTCTGACATGAGCCGATAAGCGCGTGCGCCCGCAGAAGCGAGATTGAGTTTCATCGCATGGCACAGCACAGACTGATGGTAGGAAATTTCTGCTTTTTTTTGTGCGGGGGAGGAGAGGGGGCCGTGGTTTTGCTCTTTTCGACTGAATCACGGAAAGAAAAAAAAAGCACGGGGAAAATAAAAATATGGAAGCCGTCGCGAAAAAATATCACGAAAAAAAAGTTGGGATATTTTTTTTCTGAAGTGCCTCCCCCTCCCTCCTCCCCCCGTGGTCGACAGATTCCACCGCCAACAAAACCAATCCCTCCCTCCACCTCCCGTGTTGTTTCTGTCGTTAATTTACACGCGAGACGTTCCTCCATGTGTCACGCGGATGAGTCGACACCGCGGCAGTACACGGAAAACGTTACTTTATTAATAGCGCGTTACTGTTTTAGCAGTCGCTATATATATACACACAAAAAGAATGGGTATTTTAATGCAAAAAAAAACTTCCATCCACCCACTCGCCCACGCGGATCGTTGACAACACTTTGCAAACAAATTCATGGGAGGACAGGAAAACATAAAAGTGTTTTTACATATATATAGAAAACAAAAAAAAGAACATGAGAATATACATTTATCCGCTTAAATGTGTTTGCACAATGTGTGGTGTTCGGGTAATTTGGGTTGTATAATTTACACGATGCTTGATTATGATATTATTTTATATTGGTATGTAATGGTCTGCTTTATATTCCAGCACGAGGCAGCAAAAAAACACATTGCACATCTTCAAGTTGACTAAAAGGTATATCATTTTATGAATGCGCTACTTAAAAAAACGTGTGTGGACATTAACACTTTCAAGGATTTCGTATTGTTTTATTCAATTTTTGTTTTGTTTTAGGGGGCCTTGGCCTAATCTCGAATCTAGCATTTAAGTCGTAAAAATATCGTCGGTTTTTTTAAAGGTTTATTTTAGTTTTAGTTTGTTCGTTTTTTTTGCTTTTGCTTCAAACAAGTGCTTGCGCGTGTAGAAAGCACCTGCCTAGTTCGGAGCAAATGCGTCATCGTCCGTTTTCAGACAGTGTTAGAAACTCGACTTTCCGTAGGCCATCGAGAAAGGTTACAGCTTTTTAAATTATTTTTATAACTATTATTATTGGTTACAAATGTTTTGTGTTTATTGGACTTTGGCGTGGGGGGGGGGGGGGATGATACGCGACGAAGGGAGTGCCCGTTCTGGACCCGTCCTGCTGGGCAGGCAGCAGGTTGATGGGTCAGATGCGGAGCAGTGAGGAACAGCAGGTGGTGACGTGGCAATTGTGAGACTGTAGACACCCGTTGGAGGGACTAGATCCATTGGTCAGTGGTCAGTGCAGAAGAGAAAAATGTTAAGCTTTGGACATAAGCAAACAGGGGAAGGAAATCTGAAATGCGGGACGATGAAGCGGAGATATTTCTGACAGAGAGGTCAGCCGCAGAGGAGTGACCTCCAATCCCATCGAGTGGAGTTTTTCCACCTTGGCCGTTAAAGTGTAACGATGCAAGCACATTCCCCTGTGGTTTACTCCGAGGCGTGGCCACTACTTCCGTCCGGTGTGGTGGGCTGATTCCCAGGACTGGAGGACCTTCTCCTGGAAAATTTAAAAAAATATATATATCTACGTACCAATGTTTTATGAACTTAAAGCTGAAACCTTCCTTGATGTGACGCTAAGTACAGTACAGTTTAATAGGACGGCTTTTGGTAATATATATTTTCTATTGTAGGCTATCCCTTGTGTTTATTTTATTCAGACTGTTATACTACTATTATAATATTGCTCTTATTGTCATTACAATTGTTAAGCACTAAAAAAGACCGAAAGCAGCATATATGTCCAGAGATTATTAGTATTTCAACTGAAATACCCAATGTTCCAGTGTTGAGATAACAAGCTATGCGAAACATTTCAAGTTAGAATTTAAAGTTGTTTTTTTCTGCCATCATGCCTAACATTTCATCCCTTTGGACGTTACGCGTCTTCCCTGCCCTCCCCCACCCCGTACAGCTCTCCGATTGTATCTTCGGTTTGCACCTCGTGTCGTTCGGCACGACGTCCGACGTTTCGTTCCATGTGCCGTGAGATACGGTCCTTGAATCAAGCAGCGAATTTTTTTTTGGTCATACTGCATTGCCAAGTGAGCACACAAGCATAGAAGAACAAAAACAGAACACGTTCGTTCGTCACTAACGCTGCCGTCAATGGAAAAAAAAATGTAATAGGTGACTTATAGGGCAATGGCCCTTCATAGCAGAAGAAAGGTCCCTTGCACGTGGAGCAAAACTCCGAACGTCGCGCCAGACAACACTCGACGCTAACAACCCGTACACCCATCGTAGATGTGGATGGCACGGTCACGACAACCCACGGCGGGCAGGTACACACCGCTAATACGGGAGCCTCGGGTGTTTCACAGCCAATCGGCACTAACTAGGGGCTGTTTGGAAACACGTGGCCCATTGGTCGTTAGGTGGCTTGGACTTCGTGGCATGTACCGCTTTTAATTAGCGATCTCGGCACCTCTGCCATCACCGGTGGGTATGGCTACGATTGGCACGGAGGTCACAGAAATCGTGAGTTTGAATGAAGTCCCGGAACGATTGTAAAAATGGCCATGGGAAAGCACATTGCAATTGGGCGCTTCCTTTATTTCCTTTCGAGACTGCCGTACGTTACGCGCTGAAAATATCTTCTGTACAGAGGACGTATGGCATTCATCGCAGATCGGCCAACAGCGTTTGCAGTGGCGGCTTGGTGGGTGGTGCTGGCGCCACGGTGATAAATAACTACTCTATTTGATTGCCTGCAGCGTCGATCAGCTTTGTTCTCCCCCGCACCTCGGCCGTTTAATTCGACTCTAAGTTACCGTGCCAAAATCGTAGCCGCCGCCGCCGCTCGCGGGTGTCCACAATGCCAACACGTGAGGGCAGGTGCTTTTTTTTGTTTATTGCGGCATTGCCAAAATCGTACACCTGGAGAGAATGCCACGACCAAACTGGCTGGCTCCTGGTTACTTTAGCGAACCTCGCAAGGGAATTCCAGCAGGCGCTCTTATGGAGAAACGTACGTTCTTTAGTCCGTTTCAGACTCAGAAATGTCTGGGTGGCGAATACACTTTTGGTGTGTGCCTGGCCCACGATGTTGCCAAAACCTTTTGTTGGTAATGAATTCAGGAGGTACCCTCCCCCTCCCCCACATCCTGATTGAAGGCAAGTTCTGGAGGTGCGTTTTGCATTGGACAGAAAAGGGCATTTGAGAAGTGTATTGAACCCCTGATTGTAAACTGATTTTATTTTGGCAATTTACCTGTTTGCATTTTTCTAGCGTGTGGTGAAGATAGGGCAGTGCACTGTTTTGCAAAAAAAAAAATGGAGGTAAAAAGACAAGAGGCCAGTTTATAAAAAAAAAAAGTTTAACATAAATGTAAGTTTTCACTGACAACACGCAGAATGTCTGACCTTGAAAATGTGTGCAATGCAGGTAGCGAGAGTGAGCACGCACGCATCCACGCTCGTGTGTCCTCTTAACAGCCCGAAGCCGGCTTGGCAAAACATTTTACCAAAATCCCATGGTGAATATTGTACGCTTTACACATAACGACCGCTGTAGCCTCAACCATACCCACACCCCCACTTTTCTCCGCCCACCCACCCCGATGGTGGTGGTGGTGGTGCCACTGTTGGTGATAATTAACGTCGCCTAAACCCGTCTCGTCTGTCACAGTAGTCGCGTTCAGTTTTAAATACAGGGCGATTCATTTGTAGATACCCTACTGGTTTATAATTTACTCTCTCGCCTGCTTCTCAACAGGTTGACCGCATATAGTGAAAGCGACAACTCCGTATCTTAATAGCGGGAGAGCATCACAAGACCGAATACGTCCGTTGACAGATTGGTGCCGAGGAATGTGTACAAGCTTTGGAAAAGGGGGGTTGTTTTCTCCATAATTATTGTTTTAACGGGGGTATCTGCTGATGGATCGCCCAGAAGTCTGCCAGGAAAGCCTCCACCACCGAGTCTCTGCGAGAAATTATCACCGGCGCTCAGGTTTTGCTTGAGAGAAATGCGACGGCCAAATATTTTTTTAAGAAAAGAGTTGTCTGCCAGTGGGCCAGAGCGTAGAGTGCCCTAGCTGGAGAGGGCCCATTCTTGTGAAGATGAGATTGAGAACAAAACTCTCAAACCTTGTAGGGCTGTAACCGCATCATAAAGTACTACACCGTGTTATTTTTCCAGTGGTTTGGCATTTCGAACACGTCGTCGTTAGAATCGTGGCCCCGTTGCTTAAAAGTCCACCAATGCAAGGTGGCCCCTGGTGGCTCAGAGGTCAAGGCCACTGAGCTGGCACCCCTGAACTTACGAATTTGAATCCAGGCGGGGCTGCCTGCGACTAAAACTGGGTTCTCAAGTGCAGCGAGTTGGTGGTCTCAGCCCGTCACCAATGATGGCACGCAACTTGCACATCGCGTTAAATGTGATTCTGCGCTTAATTTGGCCACAGCTCGCCTCGGAGATTTAAAAACGCCAGTTTGACTGGCACGTAACAAACGTTACTCTCGGTGGCCAGAACGCGTGGGTAGCTCTGTGACATCCGCTTCGGGGGGGCCGTTCTCTGACGGCGAAGGGGGGTTTCACTTCTTTGTCGGATATCCGAATGGCAACCGTGCCGCCGATGAACGCACTCTGCGGCTGCAGAGCGTAACGCGTGTGCGCGGCGGGCGATGTTAGTCGCGGCGACGGGTGGGACGTTTCATGCTCGGCGAGCTGGCACATCCCATCCTCCGTGCTGCTCCGTGCGGCTCACTTTTAGGTTGTCTCAGCGCAGCGTTTCTCAACTCTAGTCCTCTCAACAATACGCACACCTCACCACGCCTCTGCCTCTTCACAATTACCAATCTTTTTTGAATTAATATGCAAAGTAAGCCATTGCACGCTGAACGCTCCTGATGGTTGGTGATGGCAGAAAGCTGTCACTGCAGGAGTTGGGGTTGGCAGCGGTGGTGGTGGTGGTGGTTGTGGGCACAATGATGGTGATTTTGAGAAACTCCGCTTTGGCGAATGTGCACAGGTCATGTGTGTTGACCGCATTTCACTTGCGAGTAGTTAGTGGGTGATGTTTTTTTTCCACTTTACGTCCAAGGAAATCAAAATCACCTTTTAAAAAGTTTATAACGGATGCATCTTGCGAGTGAGATATATTGAATACAACCCCCTGTATGTTGGTGTAACATCACCGTAATCCCCTCCTAAACTCTGCTCGTGATTTCAACTTCATTGTGACGCCGGTGTCAGTAACAGCAACATTGTGGACGTGCAAAAGAGGCGGTTGAAATGTTTTAAGAACAAAACGTTTTGAAGAGCAATTTTATTATCAGCCTAATAAATGGAAAGTTTAAAAGACAAGCCACAGTAGTGCGATTGTGGCCATGCAACCCAAACTGTGGACCCATACTGTAAAATACTCCAGTCCTGTGCTCCTTCAATATTAAAGGAGGAACAGCAAAACGATACTCTATCTGCTGAAGGGCCCTCTCGTCGTGGCCAGCAGCAGACCTCGACATTGGTATTCGGCTCCTCGACGTATTGCCGCCATCTAAGTTAAACTTCGTTCGCGCCGTACGTAGCCAACCGTGCCAGTCGTAGGTGCTGGGGAAGGGACAACATACGTCAGCTCTAAAAGCAGTTCTCAAGGGAATTTGGAGTCTTCGATCTCAAGTGGGTTTCCAAGCCATCGCGTGCGACAAGAGAATTAACAGCAGATGCCAGTCCAAATTTTACATTGGGATTCGTATCCGCGTGGCCACAAGGAGGTCTCCGCTCTTGAACCCCCACTCCCCCCCCCCCGTCACTGACGGTAGAGAACATCTGTACCCGGGGGCGACCCCATGGGACCACCACGGTGATGGCTCCACCGCAGACGGCTCGGTGTCCCCGGGAGGGACCTCCGTGGCCGCCCGGGGCACCAGACCAGACCGTGTTTGATATTCGTGCGATATTTCAAGGGGACAATTTTTCCACCCAGACTCGTCAACCAATTAATGCCATCGGAGACTGCTTAGACCAAATTAAAGTGGGAAAACTTGGCTTGTTTATTTATCATGCGATTGGATAGGAGGGGGGGGGGTATGGGTTGTGTCGTCATGGCGACCGTGCTGATTCCACCTTACCCAACTCGACGACTCTGGGTGAGGACGTGGCCAAGCCCACGAGCAGCTGCTCGGAATTGGAACATGCGGCTGTGTTACTTCAGCGTTGGCTCAGCACTGCTGCTGTTTCAGCGATGACTTTGGTATAACCCCCCCCCCCCCCCCACAGCCTTCCCGAGTCACCCGGACACCCAAGGCTGGACCCCCAACTCGAATGAATCGATCATTTAATTACACTTTTTTATTTTAGCAGGAAAGGCCCATTGAGCGACCTTGATCACAAATGATAGCTCAACGAAGTGGCTTATCGTCGTGAGGACATTTATAGCAGGAGCCAAATGCTGCCCTCTGAACGCGTGAAGTTGATTCTAAATGTGGAAGGAAAAATCTTAGGACGCAACCGCGAGGACATGCAAACTCCAAACATACAGCAAGGTGTCGGGGTTATAATCGAACCCACGACCTCCTGTATACCAGGCAACGTAGTTAACATCTCCTAGCCACCGTGGCGCCAAAACAAGTGAATTCGTTGGATTTGGGGTGGAGCGGTGACGAAGTGGACCGTGGCACTGCGCGGTGAATCCGGCGATACCTGAAACTGATCCTAGGGTCCCCACCTCCCTGCTTCCCCTTCCTTCACCAACTCGCACTGAGCAGTGCCGTGAAGTATGGTCAAACAACCCCCACGACCGCCACGACTTGGGGAGGCCATGATCCAGCAGTGGACGACGAGAGGGCCATATGTAATTATTTTCATTAATTTGGAATTAACTATATTCGAACATTCCAAATCGTGTTCTCAAAACGTTTTTGACCGACTCTTTGAATTGTCGAATCTTGTTTTTTGTTTTCCCATGCCTTAAATTTGATCTTCATCAGCAAAGCAAGCGTTCACCTTCCCGTGCGGTTCTGTTTATCGAACGCTGTGCGTGCCTGCAATACAGCAGACGACTCTGCGCACAAAGGCTGATGTTCGGGCTCTCACAATTCATCCAGTTTGTCGCTCGAATCTTTTCACCGATTCACGTGAATTATGTTTCCGATCGATCGACGGGTACCGTCGACGGAACTTTCAGCTTGCTCGCCCCCACCAATCGCGGGCGACGAGTTCCACGACCCAGCCGTTGTGAAGAGCTAATGAATTTTTAAACCCGGCTCAGCCCCCCTTTATTTCTGTCTCCCGTGTCTCCCGCCGTCACAAACCTTGCACTGTGTGCGCACGGTCACCGTAAGACGGTGCAGTTCTGCAACAGATGTGACAGGAGCCACGTTGCTCTCTACATCGGCTGGATTATAAATGTGCGTTCGTTGATCTGTGGCGTAGGTCTCAAAGTTGTTTGTGATGGCCCTAATATAAGAAATAGTAGAAGTAATGTTCCACTAATTGTAGGATATGTCATCGCAGTGGCTATGATAATTGTTGTTGATATAGAGGCACGCGCACAATGACAAGGTTCTTTGTGTGTGTGTGTATAATATACACGTGGCATTGTGTGTGTGTAATATTCACACACACACAATTCCACGTGGCCACAAACACAATTGCATTTACATCGTCGAAAAGTGATTGGAGCCTCGGGGGTGACTGGCGCTAATGAATGTTGGGGGATTTTTGTTAATGCTTTGTCACTTTAATGAGCACGTGGGGGCGGGTTGTGTGGAGCTTTCGCTCGCGCTGAGAGAGATGCCTAAATCGGGGAGGTGGCTGCGCCGTACGGGGACGCGTCTAGGTCTGTGTGGGTGTAAAAAAAAGTTGTCCCATCTGTGTTTTTAAATGCCATCTTTGACTTGAAATGAATTTTGACAACAAAAAAAAATCGTTTACAGACCACTCTTTGCACGCTGATTGGAGGGTCATTTGAAGTAGCGCGATCTCATGCTAAATTACAAACACAAAACAAAACATTTATATTGCGCGTGTAAACATTATTTTTTTTGAACGATGTATTCAAGATTGCGGTTTAATACGTTTGACTGTGCGATGCGCAAAAGCTGGAATTGATTATGGGGGCTCTGTTCCAGCGTTGGTGAATGAAGTGCCCTTTTATTTATTCATCCTGTCAATAAACAACTGCACTATTGATATGTTTTAGGGACCCCCACTGGTAAGTGGTTGGAGAAACCCAGGCTTGAGAGCATATCTCGTGTGTTGCGTTCGTCTACTGATGAAAACCGATCCATTACCCACCCAGCTATTGTTGCTTGCACACCGCAGCGTAGCGTTGTTACACCCTGCGTTGGGTGGATGAGGGTGCATGACACACATTGGTAGTTTACTCGTGTGATCTGACCCAACAAAAAACAATCAATGATGAATTCTCCCCTTATGTTGCTCTCTGTTCTGGAAGAAAAAAAGCTAACTTTCGTGGTTGTGGCGTGGTTTTTTAAAATCATGATGGTAATGCTCATGAAGATTTTGGTGAAAGTTAATCATTCTCAGCCTGCGACTGTTCTGTTAATATTCTACTGAACTATTTGAAAATGCCAAATCGGTTCTGATAGAACAACGATGAGGTCATGTAAGTCATTTGTACAACCCCGTGCTTCCAAACCTCCTCGTCCTGATTCCATTCACGAATGCATTTTTTTTACATAGCGGTGGATGGTAGCGCCTCTAGTGGCAAGAATCCGTTACCTGGAGCATTCTTAACACGAATCGGCGGCAACAACAAAAAGTAATTTCTTACACACGTGATTGGACACTCGTTATCGTGAGGTTAGGAATCCTAATGAACCGATACATTCGATATATTCGATGTATCGTTAACACCACTAGCGAACACCTTTCACCGACGCCGGAATCGATCCCCGCCTTCGATATTTGCATTAACACCACTTTTTTTTTGGGCTGAAATAACGAATCGACTGAAAAATAACGCTGTACAGGACGGGTAAAAACAAAAACTTTCAAAAAATCCTAAACTTGAAAAGAAAAAAATATTTCACAGCTTACACGGCCGTGGAAATAAAAGAGACTTGACGATTTAATATTTTTAAAAAAGTCATTGTTGGACGATGTTTAAAAAGAAAATCTTAAGAGTTTAGCATGACGATCGTTCTATATATGCCTGAGCTGTAACTATTGAACCTGTCTGTCCACCCTCTTCCGCATTCTCGCCCCCCCCCAACACCCCTTGCCATCCCCACACCCCCCATTGTCCCTCGGCCCCCCATAATCCACCTCAAAGCCCACCATGATATAAACTTGACTTTATGAATTAACTTTGAATTTTAAAAAAATGTACTTTGTAGATGTCGTAGCAGTATATCGTAAGCGCTAGATTAATTATATTACTTATTACAGGTTATATATTGTAATCTAAAACATACAGAGAAATGTTACTACGGTAATCGCAAGCTCTTGATTTGTGGCGTGACAACGAAACGGGGGAGAGAGAAAGAGAAACTGCTATTGATTTTGTCTTTCCCCCCCCCAACATGTTTGATTATCAGACACGCGAGTTGGATGTTACTGCTGTTCGCCGTTGTTGATTTTCTTTCGCACTTCGTGTTTGTGCACGCGCGCGCACGTGCGCGGCAGTGTTATTTTTTTTCAACGGGAATCTACGTTGAACGAGCGATTGTCACTGCCGTAGCCAGCAGACTGGCGGCAGCTGTGTTTGCACGAGAGACGCGGTCGACAGATCGTTAGCAATTGCCCAATTGAACACACCACCGATGAAAAACCAATTTGGTTTTAACTGCCACGGTGATGGTTATTTCTCGGCTCGGAAGTAGTTATCTGGCATCCCCTTCCGCGGGGGGGCCGCTTGCAAAAAAAAAAGAAACGGTGATTGCACCGCTCTGGGAGAGATCCGAAGTCTTCGTCTTGAGACGTTGGAATAAATTTGGGGGGGTTTTTTTTTGTCTTTTTTTTTTTTACCGATTGAAGCTAAACCAATTGAGAAAACGCACTCAAATGTATGTAACGCAATCTTGTGCGGAACAAAAAGGCAAGTCCTTTGGGCGTGCCCCGTGGCCGCACCGTTCCTGTGACATTTCCCGCAGTGACGGCATAATATTTTGGGGGGCGAAGTGTAATAAAATTGGCACGTTCAAACTAAAACTATACTTTTTATTTTATTTTCAGAAGCGACCTGGCTATCACAAATGGTAGCTCAACGAAGTGGCTTGTCGTCATGTGTACATTTATAGCAGCCAAATACTCTAAAACGCGTGATGTTCATTCAAAATGTGGAGGGAAGAAGCGGAGGACCCGGAGAAAAATTCAGATAACCACGGAAAGAACATGCAGATTCCAAGTAGACAGGCGTCAGGGTCAGGATCGAACCCACGATCTGTATACCAGGCGACAACCGTCAGGGGGGGGGGGTGGCACGTACATCCCTAAAAAAAAACGGCACTTAATGGAGCTTTCCTTTAGTTAATGACACATGTATGTTGAAATTATTTTGCACCGTACGTATCCATTCGCACTAACCGGAAGTGCCGGGAAAGGACAACAAACTAAAACCAAAAATCAGTGCAAAAGAAATGAGATCACAACCGAATAAACTTGGTCAAATCCAGTACCCACATTTCTATTACAAATAGTTATGATATTTAAATACCGGGATCGCCGCATCACGACACGGTGCAAGATGGTGACGGCATCGAGCGGCGTGTCATCCAGCAGTGGATTGACAAAGGGCTTTACCACGTGTGTGCGTGTTCCTGTTAATCAGTGTCTCCAGTTCTGGCACCATTAATTCCCACTGGAATATACTTTGGGCTTCTAAAAATATATAGGTGAGAAGACATGTTGACAACTGAGTGTGAATTGCGTTATATTATCTCAGTGTTTCTGGTTTTTGTTGTCACCAAGCTGGGTTGTGGTAATGAGTCAAACTCTCCCGAGTGTAAATAAACACCATGTGACAGCTATATTCTTGGTTCTTTCGGTAAAGTCACGTGGAAAGGAAACAATAAAATAATAAAATATAAAACAATAAAATTCTCACGACGTTTCGACTGCAACACTAGCAAACATCATCAGGTGTGAAAACCACAACAAGAAAATTTGAAAAAAACACAGCTACTTTGTTGGGTGAATTCTGGCCCCTTTAAAATCTAACGGAAGGAAAGTTCACAACCGTATCCTAGAATTATGACTTATTTGTTGTCATTGAATATAATAACCCATTGATATTTCACTATAAAGTGATAATCTAAGACTAATAACACTATGTTACACAATTTTTGTTCCACGGTAGTAAGAATTATGTCCTAATTGCTTGTGCCTAAAAAGTATAGAAAATGGATATTATTCCCCACAAACTTTTATTTTGTGACCAGGACAGTGATATTTTGAAATTTACCTATTTTCAATGAGAAAACGGGCGAATTTGTGTATTTTCGTTCACTTAAATTCAGAAAAAAACGATATGAATACAAATCAACATGTATTTATACTAAAGTAATACAAAAATTACTACAAAAGATTTAGAAGCGAGTAGTTTTTCGAGATTAACGATTATACTGTAAATCACTTTCACGAATCAGCTCCCAAATGTAGTCTCCCATCATGTTCTCGTTAGACTGTCCTTGGTAGCGGCGTTCAAAGTCCAGTATATTCTGGTGGAAGCGCTCGCCTTGCTCCTCCGAGTATGCTCCCATGTTCTCCTTGAATTTATCAAGATGAGCATCAAGGATATGGACTTTGATGGACATCCTACAGCCCATTATGCCGTAGTTCTTCACCAGAGTCTCAACCAGCTCTACATCGTTTTCGACCTTGTGATTGCCCAGGAAGCCACGAACCACTGCGACAAAGCTGTTCCAAGCCGCTTTCTCCTTACTAGTGAGCTTCTTGGGGAATTCATTGCACTCCAGGATCTTCTTTATCTGTGGTCCGACGAAGACACCGGCTTTGACCTTTGCCTCAGACAGCTTAGGGAAGAAGTCTTGAAGGTACTTGAAGGCTACAGCTCTGACAAATTGTTTCATTAGGCCCAATTTGATGTGCAGTGGTGGCATCAGCACCTTCCGAGGGTTCATCAGTGGCTCCCACTTGACGTTGTCCCTCCCCACAGAGAATTCGGTTCGCTGTGGCCAGTCCCACCTGTGGTAGTGCACCTTGGTGTCCCTGCTGTCTCAAAGGCAAAGATAGCAGGGAAACTTGGTAAAACCGCCTTGGAGACCCATCAAGAATGCCACCATTTTTAAGTCTCCAATGACCTCCCAACCGTACTCATCATACTTCAAGGCATCCAGCAAGGTCTTGATGCTGTTGTAATCCTCTTTGAGGTGCACCAAGTGAGCCAGGGGAAGAGACGGGTACTTGTTACCATTATGGAGCAGCACGGCTTTGAGTCTCTTGGATGAGCTGTCAGTGAAGAGGTGCCACTAATTCTGGTTACAGGCTATTTCGATTGCCTCGAACAGACTGGTCACATTGTGGCAGAAGCAGAGCCCATCTTGATGGGTGGAGAAGCTGCAAAAAGGTTGGTGACGCATCCTCTGATCTGTGACTTGCACACCTTCATCCAACAAGTTCCACTGCTTGAGCCTTGACGTCAAAAGCTCGGCATTGGACTTGGTGAGACCAAGATCTCTGATCAAGTCGTTGAGGTCTTTTTGGTTGGGGTAGTATGGGTTTTTCTCCTCAGCTCCACCTCTGAAATTGCCATCTGGATCTACAACGTCTTCCTCGCTCTCTGACTTGCTGCTCTCTTCTAAAAACGGCTGCTCTCTCTCCGGAGGAGTGGGTACGGGGAGCTCATGGCAGTGTGGCACCAGGGCGATGGATGAAGGAAGGTCTGGATATGTGATAGCAGGTGCGTTCTTGCCAGTCGAACGTTTGGAAGCGTCCACCATGTAGAAGTAGCAGTTGCTTGAGTGGTCAGTGGGTTCCCGCCACATTCTTGGGATAGCGAACTTGATGGCTCTCTTTTCCCGTCTGTACCATCCTACAAAAATACATTTATTTCACCCATGACTAATGTGTAAGAGATTCTCGCAACATTTTTCAAAAATGATATCTTTTTTCAATAACATTGAAAATTGTGAAAAATAATAATCTTTTACTATGTATTCTTAATTTTAACAAATTTTATAACGTAAAATTCCCAGCAACAATTGTCCATTTTACCTTCCAGAGTTTTGTTGCATTATTCGCAGGTGAAATGAGGTGCCCAGAGTTTGTATTGATCCCCAACAGGCATGCCGAAATATGCCTTGTAGGCCTCACACATCTTAGCAGATGCTTCCACAGAGTACTTTTTTGCTCTTCTCTTGATAAATTGGCCGCAGACATAGCAACATGCGTCTGCCGGATGCTTACAGCCTCTTGATGCCATCTCAGAAAAATGCAGATATGTATCCACTTAGGCAGCTGGAACTAAAATGAACTGGTGGGCTTAAGGCCCCTGTATTTTTCTATTATTTATTACTGGAATGTTCTAGAAGTTTCTGCAAGTTTACTCAGCACTGAATCTATCTGGAATGTTCTGGAAAATAGGTTAATTTCAAAATATTACTGTCCTGGTCACAAAAGCAAAGTTTTATGGGGAATAATAGCCATGTATGTAGCTTTTGAGGCATAAAAAATTAGGAAATAACACGACCCAGGAACCAAAAAATTGTTACAGTGTAAATAGTTTATTGGCCCGTATGAGGGTTACTGTTGTGTTAATGGCAAGATGAACAGTGCAGTTGTCTATAAATGTAGAAAAAGGCAAGAAAACAAATGGAATGATAGCGGTGACGATCTTGACAACGATGATGATGATGATGCATCATTGCAAAATAGTGTATCGACTGGATTTAAAATTGTGCTTTAAAACATAGTATTTTTTACGAACCATGAATTTTTCAAGAGCGTTAATTTACAAGCAAATGCGTCGCAGAGATTCCCATTTCCACCACGGAGTTGCGAGAGGGAACGATAGGGATCGCTTGATGCAGGTTGTCCCTGTCGAGAGACGTGAAGGTGTGAATGCGACAGATGGGGGTGGCGTTGATATAGATTGGGGTCTCGAGTGGAACAAAACGAATACAAACATTGGAAGTACGCGTTGAATTGGGAATTGTTGGGCCATTGGCCTGGGTGCAGGGTGGGGGAGACGGTGCCGCCCGTCCCATGTTTTGTGTCCATCACACGCGACGCGCGCAAGCTGATAGAAGCAGTGCCAGTTTAAGCTTGTGCGGAGCCTGTAGTGTGATGTGGAGATTAAACACACATTTTTTTACTTGCTATACAGCCAGATAATAAGACAAATCGCTGACCTTCATTCATGAAAGTTGAAGGCGGTATAGTACTATAGTAATAGAGCAAGTGCAAAATCACTGAACCGGAAATGATAGCTTGAAAGCATTTAGAGCGGGGCCCTTGAAAGTGCGGGGCCCGTAGCTTGTGCTACCTTTTACTACTAGGATAATAATCCCGGCACTGGATAGAAGCCGGGTCAACGCAGCACCTCCGCGGTGAACGTTCGAAATCGACGTCCCGAGTCGCTGAGCACCCTTAAACGGCGTGAAGCAAAACGACAACAACAAAAACCACTGCCCACCGCGGTGTCGGTCAGCCCTTCAATTGTGAAACTGCTGACTTCAGTCGGGCCCTCGTTGCGCTGACCAATGGGAATACAAACGCCGCTCAACTGTTCCGGTCGGCCGTGCGCGCGATAATATTCCCTGTTTCTTTTTGTTACGCTGTGATTGATGGCTATGCATCGCGGCGCTGCTCTGAGAGACGGTCACGGATTCGGGGAGGGCTTACATCCAGCAGTGGATGAATCGTGGATGATGATGATGATGGCGGCACGACCCCGACGCCCTGTCCCCCACTCTCTGCGGCACAGCTGCATGTAGCTCTATCCCACCCTCTCTCTTTCTCACCTCAGGCGTGCCCCACCACTCACCATGGTCAGAATCAGAATATGTATGGATACTGGAGGAATCCGATGAGCTATGAAGCTCTTTTTTGAGATGTCCGGTCACTCCTGTAAATCCCCCGCGTCATCTTCCACTCACTCTGGGACCCCCATCCCCTGCTTGCTTGGCCACACTCTCTCTGCGCCCTCTCCATCACCCCCCCCCCCCGATTCCACGAGCACCCTTTCTTGCACCTATATCTCGACGACGCCACCACCATCAACCTAGCGTCCTCCTCCCCCAGTCCTCCACAGTCGCCGTTTGATTTTCATGGGGTTCAATTGATCGCTAAATTTGCCAGTCCACAAAAGGATCCAATTTTATTTACTTAACCGTCGTCCCCTGGCCACCACATCGGTCGAGGGAGTTCTCCCATGAATCTTTCCGTGATCCACCAACCCTGACCACGACATAAACGCACGTGTAAAGCCGCACACGCTCCAGCATGCGCACGCGATTTCCGCAGCATTCTAGTGCGATGACGTTACCGGCCTTAGCGTTGTGTTCGGTGACCCCCAGGCCCGCAGAGCTAGAGATAACGCCGCAACAACAATAATAATACAATCCCCTGACTGTGTTTGTAATGGATCTCTATGAACACGTGAAAGGACC